CCTAATTATTATACATTATTTAGTTTTTCTTATAATCCTATATTAAACAATAATTAGATATTTTTATAGGCCCATATTTTAATGTTACAGAACAAACTTCTAAATTTTCCATTTTCCTAAACTTGGAACATAACCGTTATGGGAATTTAAACGGGGTCAAAATTATTTCGAAATTTTCGACATACCAACATCATGTGATTGGGGCAGGGGAGGGGGGGTAGATCTATTACGTCTGTTGGTCCGTCATGCCCTAAGTCCAAATTTGTAAATTTTCCCTTTTCCTTAAACTTGGAACATACCTGTTTATGGTAATTTTAATGGGGCCAAAATCATTTCGAAATTTTCGAAATACAAATATATGGGGGTGGTAGTGGGGTCGAGATATTGACGCGCAACCACATTTATTAGCTTTTTTTATCTATATCCACATATTTTAGAATATTTAATGTAGGCCAACTGATAAGTCATCAGTCAGAATAGATTAAATCATTTTTTAATCAATTATATACTTATAGATAAGAGGTTTTGATTTATATTTGTATTTCCCATTGAAAGTTTTTGTTATTGTAATCAAAATATCTGATGTTAAATAAGACAAATTATAATCTTGTTATTGCCAAAATAGTATTTTGTTTTAATGAAGTTGTAGGACTGGTGTCTACTGTTATAATTGTTCATTTATATTATACGCATAATTATGTATTTTGCAATGTAAGGTCAATAGTGAGTAAACACTTCCAGTTGATCTGGGGACTTGCAAAAATCCTACCTGCCCCTTCCTAGATGGGAGTTAGGGTTATTTAGCTGGCTTTTAATACTGACCACTCATATCTACATCATTGTTTCAAATAAATATATACTATAATATGATAACAGGCTCTAGAGATTGTCGGAAAAGCCTACAAAGATTGATATAAATATTCACATGTTTATATTATTGTCAGTTGTGTTAGGGTAACATAATACTTTATAAGGACATAGAACGAGGTCAAAATTCAAATAATTCATCTGTTGAATAGATTATATTATTTCTTAATCAATTATTTACTTATAGATAAGAGATTTTGATTTATATTTCCCAAATTATTGTACATTATTTAGTTTTTCTTATACGCCTATATTAAACAATAATTAGATATTTTTATATGCCCATATTTTTATGCTACAGAACAAAATTCTAAACTTGGAACATGACCGTTATGGGAATTTGAATGGGGTCAAAATTATTTCGAAAATTTCAACACATACATCTTGTGATTGGGGGGTGGGGGGTGGGTAGATCTATTATGCCTGTTGGTCCGTCATGCTACAAGTCCAAATTTGTAAATTTTCCCTTTTCCTTAAACTTGGAACATACCTTTTTATGGTAATTTTAATGGTGCCAAAATCATTTTGAAATTTTCGACATACAAACATATGGGGGTGGTAGTGGGGTTGAGATTTTTACGTGCAACCACATTTATCTTTTCTATCTATACCCACTTATTTTAAAATATTGTTTAATGTAGGCCAGCCGATAATCATCAGGCCAAATTAATCAATTATATACTTTTGTTAATGAGATTTTTGCCTGAAACCACATTTAATATTTATCTATACCAACTTATTTTAAGATATTGTTTAATATGGTCCAACTTATATCTTAATTCTTAATCAATTATATACTTATAGATGTAGTTAAAAATCGTTTACAAATAAAATAAATCGTTTAAAAATAAAATATTTTACGATCGTTGTTTTTACTGAATCTGTAATTTTGCTGTGAACAAGCTGCGTTAGACGTAAATTGAGATGCTACGTAAATTAAGATTCTGAAATCCATCCACAGGCCATTGCCGATTATGTGAACGAGGCAAGAGGCTTTATATTAATTTGAGATAACAGTTTTTGCTTAGCATTGGAGTCCAGTGCATTCAAAGCATTAGGCCTACACGTCTTTAAACTTTCAGCTGCGAATTAGTCGTTTCTGTTCCACCTGAACAAGGCTCAATTTCTATATCTGCCCCCACCCACTACCAATTTGGGAATGTATAGCCGAGGTTTTGCTGTACTAATGACTCGGGAGAAGACGTACCATATGCCTGATCGACTTGGCAGTTGTGGTGATTTGCAAGGAATAAGTTGCCACATCAATATTGCCTTGTCGTTCTGGTCATTCGCCCCAGTACAGGGCCTAAAAGAATGTGCCTTGGAGCACAAACGTGCTTCGAAATTAAGAAAACTGTGCTCTGAATAAAAAATGGAAATGAAATGAAATGGGGTTTAACGTCCTACTCCTATACTGGGCTAATGAAGACTGCCATAGGATCTTTTACGTGCATTCTAATGTATACACGGGACCTCGGTTTTTCGTTTCATCCGAAGGACTAGAACGCCTCCCCAAACATTATATGAGGTGCCTACGACTTGATCAATAGGGTGCCTCATCCCGGTGGGGCGCCCATAATTCTCGGAAGGGGTGGGACGTCCACGACGAGATCATGGGCACCCATAATATAATGGCAGGGCGCCAATATTGCCAAGTCAGATTGGTTGGGCGCCTTTGAATTAACTGGGTGCCCAAAACGACGTGATAATCTTCAAAATTTAAACAAGTCGCACGTACTGATCTAACCCGATTCCAAACTTTTCGTTTTGCTCATATATTATAACATCAAAATATCATATCGCAAATTCAGTCTCAAAATTGAAATTTTTCGTCATTTTCATAATTCCCCTCATCAGGTGCAAAACCCTATTTGCCACCCAAGCCCCCCCCCCCTCCCACCTCGCCAACATTTTTGAGCTAGCTATGGGCCGGGCCTGAAGTGTGGATTAAGTCGTGAGAGATTTGATATTTTCCGAAAAATGCAAATCACGCATTGTGAGTTAACCTGATTTCGGTAAGTATTTAACAGGATCCGGTAACGTGAGGTCGATTCTGATATATTTATGTTGGTATCGGTCAATTACCCCTAAGTACCACTAGGATTTCCAGTCAATAAACTCAGCGATGGTTGGCTAAAATTTGGGAATAGTTTGTTTGACTCGATAAAAAACGCACTAACTCAAATATCATTTATCCCAGTTGATAAAACCAGTCGCTCAATATTAAGCACCGGTGGCAGTGAACGAAGGTAATATAGAATAGCCCAATCATGCTTGTAGCCAGGGGCTTCAACCCCCATCCCTCCCAACTACTTTAAAGTCAGATTTTTCGGGCAAAATAAAGTAGTCTTATGATCTAGGTATTTAGGTGATACATGTACTTAACTGGAGAGTAATGTTTTTGGCCCCGTCATTTAAGTGAATAGAATCCTACATATGCCTGTAGTCAGGGGCTGGGGGTATTGGACGAGACACAGTGGCGGCGCCAGCCGTCAGTGATTGGAGGGGCAAAGACGGGGCAAAGTCCAAGGTTAAGGGGGCAAAGGCATGAGCTTCAACTAGGAGTAGGGGGCCTCCCCCAGAAAATTTTGAAAAACAGGTTGCTGGAAATGCAGCCTGGCAGTATTTCAGGCACTGATCGATGAGGTAAAGTGTCAAACGAACGGACTTGCGAATCACGACGAAGCCCACTAATGAGCGTCAAAGCAGGGAGTCCTCCCCCAGAAAATTTTGAAAAATAGACTGCCGGAAATGCTGTCTTACAGTATTCTGTCAGGCACCGATCGTCGAGATAAATAGATCTGCCCAGAGACCGTTCGTCGCCTGATCACTAGTTTATCCGACTAGAGAACAAAATGTCAAACGAACGGACTTGCGAACCTCAACGAATTCGGGGACCTCGCCAAGACAATTTTGAAAAATAGACTTTCGGAAATGCTCTACAACATGCAAGTTTATGACTGAGTGGGGATGTGGGATTTATTCACCGTAGAAGGTATTGGTTACCGAAATGTATTACAAATACTTTTTTTTATTTTCTAAAATTATTGGGGGGCAGACCAGATTAATGGGGGGGCATCTGGCGCCGCCACTGACGAGACAGGGTTTTTAATGTGACCTCGTCAAGTCGAATATTTCAGTGCATATTTCAGTCGAAAAAAGCAGTCGCTTGACTTGAAGGTGGAGAACCAGATTTTATGAAGCACTAAGATAACAATAAGTAGCCTGGAGCCATGGTGGCTAAGTGAGTAAGACGTTGGCTCGGTAGCTTGGAGGTCGCGGGTTCGTTCCCGGTAATTGGCCGAAAAAGTTCCTCAGGATTTTCCGGGTTGTTTCCCCTTGTCAATGGGGCAGTACAGAGGGCCTGACAACAAGGACAGCTGTCTAATCTTTCAGATGGTATGAAAAACCGGGAGCAGGTCGTTTCATCCCACGACCGTTTCACCCCGGGCTGTTTCATCCGGACTGTTTCATTCCAAAATGACACAGGTCGTTTCATCCCACAAATCAATAAACAAGTTTTACGTATTTTTAATATTTTTTTCATACATTTATAACAATAACAATGTGTCATGGCACTTTTAATAATACTATTTGTATCATTTCAGTTACTTTGGTTTCATTAAATTATCTATCTACGACTTTTATAAATAAATCAGTTACTTAATTTGTGGTTCCATTAAATATCTAGCCCATTTACGGCCATATAAATTCCCTGCTAGCTTTAAAAAAAAGCACTTGTTGTAATTGACCGATCTGTATATTTCCCCCAGGCTTCAAAAATATTACCATTGATTTTACAATATGTTTTCCTGCAATTGCGAAAATTGACCCCTTCTTCGACCATTTGCCACTGGATATCTATCAAATCTCCCTCTTCTTTTAAAATGTCCCAGGTACTTGGCATGCATGTAAAAGATCCCCTGGCAGTTGGAATTCGATATGTAAGAGTAGAACACTGTATGGCGTATGACCGACTTTATTAGCTCAGTTTACGAATGTGTTGTGTTATCTTTGAAATTGTTAGTGTTCATTTATTTTTTATTTTACCCCTGCCTTAATTTTGACCCGAAAACTCTTGACAACTTACAAACCACACCCACTCCAGTAAAGGGAAATCACTCTCATTATCACATGATTTATTTTTAGAAGCGGCCATGTTTTGGTCAATGTTATTGTTTATTTAGCAAGAATTTGTACCTGAAAAATGGTTTAATTAACTAGATTAAGGAATAATCAATCGTTAATTAGTTCGCGGGTAAAAGGTAAGTGATGTTATGAACAAAATTTACACCAGCACGAATGGATTCATGAAAATTTGAGAGAAATTGGACTCACTTCTCAGATTTCTGAAATCATGAGAAGTCAAAAATTGCTCAAATGTTGACAAAGGGTTCGATTAATTTCAATTCAACAACTATCAGTTTTACAGTATCAATCTGTCTGATATGGACAGAGACTAGTAATTCTCCACCCGCCGCCAAATTTACTTCAATGTGAAATCCATGACATTGCTTGTCCTATGGGTACCCGGACCACTCGGACCAAAACCACTCGGACCAATCAATTTATGTTGCCTCTCAGACGAATGCATGACCACTCGGACCAAAGACCACTCGGACCAAGACTACTCGGACCAATTGATAGACCACTCGGACCAAACTAAAAGACTACTCGGACCATACAAAAAGACTACTCGGACCAAACAAAAAGACCACTCGGACCAATAATAAAGTTTTGTTTTAATAAATTGTGTTTGTTTTAATATGACTACCCGGATCGCTAATAAATTATTGTTTTAAAAAATTGTGTTTGTTTTAATATGACTACCCGGATCGCTAATAAATTGTTGTTTTAATAAATTGTGTTTGTTTTAATATGACTACTCGGATCGCTAAAAAATTGTGTTTGTTTTAATATGAAAATTATAAGTGTTATGTACTTACCCGTGGTATTTGATCATAATGAAGCACATCAAAGAAGATTAATTAACAAAACAACGATAAATGAGTAGTGATTAATACATTAGTATGTGTTGATAATGTACTCATCCATGTTACAAGGTAATAAAGTAGATGAAGCACATGAAAGAAAATTGATTCATTTTTAATTGGTGTGATTGGAGTAATGTCCAAGAGCTTAAATTGTATATAAACATGTAGAATGTATATTTCATTATCATTTGTCAAAATGTCCGATATGTGTATTGTTTACGATTCTTTAGTTCGACCAAGGCGCGAGGCTGTACTGTGTCATTAGTAAATTTATAAGTTCTTCAGAAAGCTCCTTACCTTGCCATTTTTGCCATCAGAGCATATTTTGCCGGCTTTTACAAAACGTGAGGAAAAGGTCGACAACGAACAAATTAGATAGAAAATACTATGTGGCCAATTTCGTCAGGACAACAACGATGTCGAAGACTGGCATAATCGCATCAACCAGAAAACTAAGAAATGAAATCTAAAATTTTATTTGTTGACAAGCCTACTAACAAAGAAGCCAGCCAACTGCCTCAACAGATGAAAATGATATCCGAAGGAAAATTAGAAAGACACCCCCCAAAAAAACAGACCCGTTCAATACAGGGAAAACTTTTTGCGATTTGGAAACTATACAATGAAGAAGCAATCAGCACAAGCCAACTATTAAAGAAATGTGGTTTAATTTACGGTCCCAGCGAACAGGTCACTAGACATGTCACAGGCATATCAAAAACTAAAAAAAAAAATTTTTTTTTAATAAATTGTTGATGTAATAAATATTTTATAAATTGTTGATGGTAATAAATATGTAAGGAAGGGGGACATTTCTAAATTTATGTATAGATTCACCTATAAATTATTCGCTTCTTTGTATTGTTATTTTTTAATGAATAATATTTATTTAATTTAAAATCTGTATTTTATTTAAGTGAATAATTGGATCGAGAAGCGATCCTTTGGGTTGGCCCGAGAGGCAACATAAATATTGGTCCGAGAGGCAAGTATTGGTCCAAGTGGTCTGGATATATCTGAAAAATATATTAAAAAATTTGAAACTATTTTACCAACTGCGATTACGTTGCCGAGATTTGTATTAGGCAATTTTCATGTAATTTAGTAAAAATCTAATGTCTTCAACGGCGATTACATATTGTCTAGATTTGTAAGCAATTAAATGTACATACCAGTATTACAGGTTCTTTGCTGCCATCTTTCACACCCGTCACACAGTAGCTACGAGAACGTTGCTAAAAACATACTGATGTGTTTGTTTTTAGCTACGATTGGATGCCTTTAGTTCCAAGTGGAAAACTCAATTTCTTTATTAATGCATGTAACATCTTTAAAATAAGATAAGTTTATGCTATTATGATTAATTAAACTTACAGAGGCCAATGTAGTGGCACAACTGTCGCCTAACTCCAAATATTCATGTTTAAATTAATGAAGCGTTGTTTTTGTCTGACATTCACCGCCGTCGAAATCCATTCATAGTTACAGTGCTTTAGATTGCCCTTTTGATTGGCTGTTATAACCTTATATTTAGCCCCGCCTTCATGATGACAGCGTATCGTTTAAAAAGATGGCGGTCTTAGTAACGGCTTAACGCCTCGATTTTAAAAACGTCGATTTGTACCTGTTTCAGGTAGGATTATATGCTCAATTGTAGTTGAGTCTGGCAGAAATATTATAAATAACAATAATCAATCATTGTTTTTATTAAAAATATTGTCAATTTTGTTTACAAATGCCGGGTGCGAATTTCTCGCGCATGTGCTATGTTGAAGGTAATGACCTCATGTCTTATCTCGAAACACGGAGGGTTGAGAGATTAAGGTTTGTTATCTAGTCACACAGTACAGCCTCCTGCCTTGGTCGAACTAAAGAATCGCAAACTATACACATATCAGACATTTTGACAAATGATAATGAACTATACATTTTACATGTTTATATACAATTTAAGCGCTTGGACATTACTCCAATCACACCAATTAAAAATGAATCAATTTTCTTTCATGTGCTTCATCTACTAATCACTACTCATTTATCGTTATTTTGTTAATTAATCTTCTTTGATGTGCTTCATTATGATCAAATACCACGGGTAAGTACATAACACTTATAATTTTCATATTAAAACAAACACAATTTATTAAAACAACAATTTATTAGCGATCAGAGTAGTCATATTAAAACAAACACAATTTATAGAAAATTTATTAGCGGTCCGAGTAGTCATATTAAAACAAACACAATTTATTAAAACAACAATTAATTAGCGGTCCGAGTAGTCATATTAAAACAAACACAATTTATTAAAACAAAACTTTATTATTGGTCCGAGTAGTCATATTAAAACAAACACAATTTATTAAAACAAAACTTTATTATTGGTCCGAGTGGTCTTTTTGTTTGGTCCGAGTAGTCTTTTTGTATGGTCCGAGTAGTCTTTTTGTTTGGTCCAGTTGGTCTATCAATTGTTCCGAGTAGTTTTGGTCCGAGTGGTCTTTGGTCCAAGTGATCATGCATTCGTCCTATGATGATGCCAATAATAACTTTTTTTTGAGCCCAAATGTTCATGTTGACGTATTAAAGTAGCTAAGTCTCTAACTCAATATCATCCAAAATCTTCAACATTGAAAACACAAATTAAATCAACATTCATGTTGTGATCTTACCGGAAAAAGATGGGCTAAGACAAAATAAACATTTTACCATTGGTACACGAATCGTGTACCATAATGCGCTTTAGCCCCAGTTGTATCAAGAGACTCGAGGGATGAGGCTAGACACATTGCACCAAATCAAACGGTGTATGTAGACTGGAATAACCAGACGCTAGAAATTTGCACTCGCTTGAGACTGCTGGCTTATTTCGCCAAACATAACTGATTTGAAATTGGAGTAAAAACGGAAACCATTGAATGTAAATCAGTTTATATACATTCATATTACAGTATTATATGCGTTGCGACCCACTTTTGTCAATTTCTAGGTCCTAAATGTTAGCGATTTAGCTCCTTTAATTATGTTGTAGCCCTAATTGTTTCACTATGTTGAACTTGCGCTGTTGGTTGTTCTGACTACTTTTTTCATAGGTTTGTATGTGGATTATGGGTTAGGGTTAAGGGGATGCGGGTCAGTTCATCCCACAACCGTTTTCCCCTGGGCTGTTTCATCCCAACCTAATTTTTTATCGGGCTGTTTCATCCCGAGCTGTTTCATCCCCCTTGTTATTATAATAGCAGTCAATTAACTGAGTTGTACTTATCGTTAAATAAACTGTTAAACACTTACATCTTGTTAAATAAACAATAATGTATGGAATAAATAAGTTTTACTCATCGACTTTTGTTGATTACCGATCACGGCCGAGATTAGTTCACCGCTGTATAGCGTATTGGTTTATTCGTATTGTTAGTTAATTGCTGTTATGATTTTAGATTAGTTCACCGATGTTTTTGTAATAAAGTATACGCGTATTGTTTGTTAGTTTATGACGTCTAACATCATTTATCTTCTTTATAAAAAGGTATTTTATAATTGACAGCTTAATCACTCGCCAAAATACATCATGGACTCTACGTCTTACCAAATAATCAACTAAATTGCGCAGAAGCCCCTTTTAAATAAGACAAATTAGATTGATATTATTTTGAAACCATAATTAATTTTAAAACTGATCGTTGATTTAATTTCCGTACACGAAATGAAACTAAACAACTCCAAATATAAGAATTCCGAATAAAAATTCATTTAGAATACCAAAATGCGAATCGTAACACATTGTGGTCTAAACTGTGTGATAAATTATAAAATAAATCGTAAACCAATGAGGCGCCAGGTAGTCTGCACATCTAAAGATAACATGTGTCGAAATAGTGACTACGTGCAATTTTATTCTTTGATAGACTGTTCTATCACTGGCAATCCTGTCATGCGTGTAAAAATTGCATTGACATTGTATAAATAAAATATTTGGAAAATAAGCTACTTAAGGTGTATGCAAAAGAAGGACTTGGACATTATTCTTGATAAAATTGCATTGACATATTGTTATTGGTATTAATGTATAAACAAAATATTAAATATTCATGTAATACTGGTTTTAAATTTGTGGGATGAAACGACCCGATATAAGTGGGATGAAAGGAACCGTGTAAATTTGGGATGAAACAGCCTGAGATGAACCGGTAGTGGTCAGATCAGCCAACAATGCTGTTGAACCTCGTGAACGATTGACGTTATCATGCGATCTGTATTAAATTTACATGTATTATTTAAATGAGATAAATCGCTAATATTTGGGATCTAGAAATTTAGACAAATGAGGGGGATCACGTGGCTAAGTGGGTAAGACGCTGGCTCGCTAGCCTGGAGGTTGGGTGTTCGATCCCTGCATTTGCCGAAAAAGTTCATCCAGATTTTCGGGCGTGGTTCCCCCTTGTCAGTGAAGCAGGATGGAGGGTCTGACAAGGACAGCTGTCTAGTATTTCGGATGGGACGAAAAACCGAGGTCCCGTGTAAACATTGGCGTGCACGTAAAAGAACCCTTGGCAGTTGGAATTCAATATAAGAGTAGGCCGTAGTGCCGCTGGCCGGGCAAAATTTCCCTCATAGCACACTGTATGGCGTATGCCCGTCTTCATTAGCCCAGGTTATGAGCAGAACAGTAGGACATTAAACCCCCATTTCATTTCATTTCATTACACAAATGGGTCGCAACACATGTAATAATGTAATATGAATGTACATGTATATAACTGATGTACGCTCAATCGTTTCCGTTTTTTACCCAAATTTCAAATCATTTGTTCGGCGAAATACGTCAGAAGTCTCAATCGAATTGCAGTCTCTAGCGTCTTGTTATCCTAGTCTACACCGATAGTATTTATTGTGTATGTTCTCCAGATAAGAATATGTCATCACCGTTTGATATGACTTGTGGACTATGTCTAGCCTCGTTCTTCGAGACCCTTGTTAGTAATACAAATGGCATTATGGTACACGATTCGTGTACCAACGGTAAAATTTTTATTTTGTCTAAAATATTGGATATCAGTAGAAGCCTATCATTTCCCAGTAAGATCACAACATCAATGTTGATTTAAAAATTGACAAATAATTTGTGTTTTCATTGTCAAAGACTTTGGATGATATTGAGTTAGAGACTTAGCTACTTTAAATTAGTAGGATCCTATTGAATTTCAACAATTTCCGTTTATAGCTTCTAGAGTTATGGCCCTTGTTTCACTTTGTTAATTGTTGATCCCCTTGTGAACTCTCTAATGACAAAAATTACCATCCGATCTGTATTATTTAAATTTAAATGCTTTATTGAAATTAGTAAAATGAAGAAGTCTATTGAATTTTTATTAAGCAATTTCTGTTCATAACATCTACAGTTATGGCCCTTGTTTTACTTTGTTGAACCTTGTGAACATTCGATCAGTATGAAATTGATATCAGCATCTTGTAAATGCTCCTATTACCTACAAACGCATAAATGCGTAACAACCTTTGTTGACTGCTCGGATGATTTAGCAGCTGTTGGCGTATGCTTCGTTGCCTGGCAACCTATCTTTGATTGATTCTGATGAAACTTGTTAAGGATCAAAATATCTTGAATGAGTTCGATTTTTTTTTCAAATTCGATGTGAGGCATTGGGACCATGAGAGGATGGTCCCCCATTGTTCTTAAAACCTTGTGAATGGGTTAGCTGCTACAGTTTTACGCCAATTCTTTTCGAATTTGGAGTGAAACATTCATTGAGGTCATGAAGGGACAAAACCTATCAATATTCCGCATTCCGCAATTGTGCATCCCAGCGTTACACCACATTTTCTGAAACCTAGTGAATATGATAGAGGTTACGGTCATGAATGGATCTGTTTCAAATTTGGTTGAAGCGTTAGGGTAAGAGGTTACGGTCATGAATGGATTTGTTTCAAATCTGGTTTAAGAATTAGGGTAAGGTAATAAGAGGACAAATCCTTAAAATATTCATTGTTCCGCTACCTTCTGTTCCAGAGTTACCAACCTTTTCCGAAAGCCCTGTGAGCACGATAGCGGTTTGATTTCTTGAAGGCATTGTTTTCAAATTTGGTCAACATCCAAATTTTCCTTTTGGATAAGCTGCTGTCAAAACATAGTGGATATGTATAGGCGTATTTCCAAGCTATCTTATATTATATGTTGATTGTAGATATGTATGTATATATATTATATATTTTAGGTGTCGGTTATAAAGATGGAAAGTTCAATACCAGGTCATGTAACAGTTTTGTATCTGTTTACTATAGTCAATCTTATAGCATTATTCCATGTTAGTTTGGTTAATGCAGAAATAACAGTCGTAAGTACAACTTTTAGAAGTAAAGAAAATAGTTTAAAACCTTACTGAGTAAGGGCCCAGACAGTGCCTCTTCACATCCTTATACTCAGATATGATATGTGATTTTGAAGTGCATTACAACTAATGTATGTTAACTACAAGTACCACTTGCAAGTTTTTCGGTAATTAGGGTTTCACACTGCGTAGCTTGTGTGAAACACTATTGTTTTTGTTAAGATTATTATTCTTATTATTATTATTCAAATTCCATTTTTATTAGATCTCAGCAACTGCTTGTCTCATCGTTTCGATTTCTTAGGTTTTACTGGGAAAGTGGGTGTGACTTAGAGGATAAAACTATTTTGAACGTTCTGCGACAATGTGAAATGTCAGAATGTTACCAATAGAGTTATCTGTCGGCACCGGAAGTGGTGTAATTTTACCAAAAACTACAATTTTGACAGTTAGGTACCACTTTTCGAAAGCAAAATTATATTATTTTTTTAAAAACTGATATAACTAAAAGAGTGTGCCCTTTAAAGGCGCAAAAAAGTGTGAGCTCAGTTTTTTTAATTTCGATTTCATTTTCGAGCAAATTCGATTAAGAGGTGAAAAAAAGTGTAAAATTGACCTATTTACAACCCATTCAGGCTTTTCAGCTCTTAAAATATTTCTACGTAACTTTTATAAAATTGAAGCTATAATCCATACCAAGTAAATGTATGTTAAAATTAGTTTGTAATATAAGCAGTTGGCTAGAAATGGGCAATTTTGAATCAGTCATCGTTTTCGTTATTTTGCCTTTAAAATAGTCAATAATTATTGGATTTTCATAAAAGTGACACCATTTGATTAAAAAAGCAAGTATACGTCCTATCAAATTGATTACAATTTAAACTTGACTTTTAACTTTTAAAATCAATATTTTTTTCAACCAAGAATTATTTAATATGTATTAATATTTTTAACTTTTGGTTTAAATTAACATATTAATAAAATTCATACGGTCATATAAATATCATAAAATTGTTTCTATCTTGTTCGGTTGCGGAGAAATAGGCGGTTTTCTACAAGTCACCTTTGAAGGTTTTTGATCCATAAAAGTGTCAATTATTATTCGATTTTCATAAAATTTTCACCATGTGATGCCCAATGTCATAGACGTTGTTATAAAACTAATTTAACATTTTTAGTATCACCGGAACTAATGTCATTTTGGCAAAAACTGTATTTTTAGCCTTCAAAACAGATATTTGTAATGTTTTTAAAATTATGATATTTGATTCCAATCAACAAAAATTTAATGAACCCACACGATCATACAGATAGCATGGTGTCTAACTTGTACGGTTACAGAGAAATAGCCGATTTTCCACAAGTCACTTTTCAAGGTTTTTGGTCTATAAAAGTGGCAATTATTATTCGATATACATAAAATTTTCACCATGTGATGATGTCATTTCTGATATCATTAAACTAATTTAACATTTTCATTATCACCGGAAGTAATGTAATTTTGTCAGGATCACTTATATGTAACAAATGTATGAAATGAATTGATTGCTGGATTTGGTTGATTCTGCGTCCATTTTATTTCTTATCTGCAATGCTTATGTGGAAACCTGATTAACGGTTTCATTGGTACCGGAAGTGACATAAGTTCAAGGGTAACGTGGCACCAGTGAAACCCGTCATTACTGCATCGCAGTTCTAGTTATCTGTTTGCACTGTTGCACTTGGCAAACCTCGGCACATTCCATTACTAATCTAGCCTCGTCTGTATGGCGGTAAGTGATATGTACCTACGCCTATACAATCGGTTTACTTATTAGGAAAACTTGCCGCCTTTAAAAAAAAGTTATCAAAATTGCATCGTTCAAAGCGTGTGTAGAAATTTCGGTGCGAAGTTGTACTTGTTTGAAGAAAATCGGATAAACTTGAAAAAAAAACAGCTTCAGACTTTGAAATATTTGTATGATAAAACATTCTTCAAAGGCGTCGTCATGGGCAACGCCGTTGGTAACCTGGGAACTTGAAAGTAGTTCCAATGGCGGACTTCGTCATACAGCCGAGGCTATATGTAGGGTACTGGAATCTGCTGAGGTTTGCCGAGTGGCACTGTTGCAGTCTTGACTCTCGATGAGCGACTTTAACAGAAGACCCATGCCTATATTGAAATGTGGTTGTATATTGTTGTCACCCCTGTCTGTCCGCCGATTCATTGGTCCAGCGTCAGCATCTACTTGTAGACGGTTTAAAGAGAGAGAAATAAAGAAATGGAGTTCAACGTCCACTTGACACAAACTAGGTAATTTCGGGACTAACATATGCTGATTATTCATAATAGGTTCAGTAAATAAAAAAGCCAGGTGGCCAGGTGGCTGGTTTTCACGCTCCATCCGTGTGAATTTCATGTACCGGTAGATATTAAGATAATAACTGGATTATACATTGATGGATTCACTGAGCAGTTGTTAGGTAAATTTAAATCTTCATTCAATATAATCCGCTGATAAAACACCGAATACACAGAGAGAGAAACAGTGGATATTTTCCCGACAGAATCTCCAATGCCAAATTCCAATGACATGTGACATATCAGTTGGAATAAGATCAGTAAACCAGTTCTAAATAGCGTTTACTGTTATGATTTTTTTTATTTTATACACATGCTGACACATATATAAAAGTCGTACAGAATTTTTTTTTATAGCAATTTCAGTTATGGTTGTCACATGATCATTGTGCCGTTTGTCTATCATCGACGAATAAATGAAGAAAAACTTTTGCAAGTTACATGACTGTTTCGTGATGGACAAAAGACTACAAATTGTGTTATGAAGAAATGCCATGGTGCTGTATCAGCTTATTTTGACTACAGCATTTTCTGATACTGGCAATAAACAAAATTTAGACAGTAGGCCTATTAAGATTTGAAGGATTCGTGCAGATTGCATATATGAGAATCCTCTTAGATTCTCGCAAAAAAATGACAAATTTCTAGCCCTGCGACTCTACTCCTTGTCACGTACAACCGGGAATTGAAACCACGCCAGTTGACTCAATGACTGACCTTATTTTATGAAACAACGCGCATACGCTAACCATTCGGCCACCAACTCCCCCAGACGCTCTAAAGCTAAAGTTATTATCCGATGGACTTTAAATTTATACACAGTGTCTATGGTCATGAGATGAAGAAGCCTATTGATTTTCAGCATATTGACTCAACGACAAACCTTATCATCTTATGATATAATGCGCACACGCTAACCATGGACCCTCTAGAGGCCACAATTTTGATCTGATTTTGATGAAACATGAATATATAATTATAACCCAAAGATCTTGGTTTCTGTCGATATTCACGCATATCGGATCGTAACTTCCTGAATTATGGCCCTTGATTGTACAAAAAATCGCTTTTTGTTTAGCTTGTTCTCTATCCATTTCTTGCAAAATGTGGGCGTATCCTGTCTGGCAACCACTGGTTTAAATTTATAAAACAGAGAAGTCTATCGAATTTCAACAATTTCTGGATTGCTCTTGATTCACGGCAAAAGTTATCATCTGATTTGTATTAAATTGATATCAGTGTCTTGTAAAACATGAGACAACCCTCGTCGACTGTTCAGATTTTCTGCTGTGGGCATATTTTTCATTGACTGGCAACCTATCTTTATTTCTGTGACAGTTTTATATCGAAAAACCGAAATATCGCCCAGCCCCATAATTAAATTTAAATTATTTACTTAATGCATTGTTACCCCATAAGTGTCTTAAATTAAATGCTTCCATTCACTACAAAACAATGAATATGCAATAACCCTTGTGGACTACTCAGACGACTTAGCTGCTGTGGTCATATGTTTAGTTGCCTGGTAATCGGTGTTTAGTGATATTATTAATAAGTCTGACACAACCGAAATTGTTATGTCAAGGCCAGCCCACAGTTCAAGACACCTGCTGATTTTAGAAATAAATACACACAATGTTAGTCCGAAAATGACCTGTCACTCTCTATCTCTGTCTTAAATTGTAGGTGGATACTGTAAAGAATATTACAGTAGCAACGTATGATGACATGCCAGCCATTTTTGGAGACCGTCTACCTGATGAAGGCATAAATGTAAGTACACCTAGACCTGATGTTACGGTAATAAACAAAGTCTCAATAATCAATTTTTATACGTCCACACTGAAATCTCCCCCACCCCTCTGTCCGTCTGTCAACAATTGGCTTATGAACATGATACAGTCTACAGTTTGTGACAGACTTTTGTCAAGTTTGGTGTGAAGTGTGAAGTATTGTGGTCATGAGAGTACAAACTCTATCGATATTTAGTGTACTGTGACGTTTCGTTCCAAAACAACCTCCCCCCCCCCCTTTTTGCCAAAAGCCTTGTGAACATGATAGAGGCTGTAGTTGTTAATGGATGTTTTTCAAATTTGGTGGGGAGAATTGGTGTCATGAGAGGATGAACTTTGTTGATTTACAGCATTCCGCAACTTTTTGTTCCGGAGTTATTCCCCTTTTCCAAAAACATTGTGAAGACGATAGAGTCTGTAGTTTTTAACAGATGATTTTCAAATTGGTGAGAAGTATTGATTTTCAGCATTATGCAACTTTTTCGATATTCAGTGTTCTTCTACTTTTCATTTTGTGTTCGATTTTTGTATGCTTTTGTATGTATGGTTCACACAGCCAGAGTTGTTAATTGATATTGAATTATTTATCCCCTTTGCCAAAAAATCTTGTGAACGCGATACAGGCTATAATTTTCAACAGATTTTGGTGAAATTTGGTTGGAAGCATTAGGGTCATGAGAGGATGAACCCAATCAATATTAAGTGTTCTTATACTTTCCATCTTGGTGCGTATCAAAGCTCAACTTCTTGTTTAATACAGCCTTGGTTGTTAATTCACAGTGAATTATTTAGGAAATACCATAGGGTTTATAATGAACAGTACTGAAACACTGTATCTTACAACATGGGTGTTATATCATGTTATTCTGTTAATACACAGTAGACTGGAGAATATTAAGATATTAAACAATGTATATTTTGATCATTGTTCATTGTCCCTAATGAAGACCAGTTCCCTAAAACTAGTTTTTAACTGATTTTCTTTTTCAAATTTGATGTGAAGCATCTCTTGCAAAATGTGGGCGTATCTTGGATGGCAACCGCTTGTGGTCTGATTTAGATGAAACTTGAATCTGGACTTCTCGAATACTGTACCATAAACCCCCTAGAAATCTGCTATCCTCTACCGCTACATCGTTGCTTTTGCAGCACTCTTATAATTGATCATGCGGTTACCATTCATGCTATGTTGAAGTACCTTTCTTTCTTTCGATTACCAATTCAGATTTGTAATGTCACTGCTTTTGCTGCTTTTAAAACTATACTAAAGAGACTTGTACCGCCTTACTATAGACCATTCACTGACTATGACTTATCACCAGGGGCGGATTGGGGGGAACCGGCACGGGCTCCCGTGTCGGAGCGGCCACTTTTACTGGCTGCGGGGGGTATGCCCAGGTGCTATCCCGTGGGAACATTTTGAAAAATGAACCCCAAATATGCGATTTGGTGGCATATCTGATTATAATCTCTGTCAAATTCAGCCAGCAGACCAGCTATCACCAAATTTTGCTGGTCTTAAAATTGAATTTTTTTGGGATATACAAACCATTGGCAGACGTTTCTGGCGTTTCCCCACAAACAGGGTGCAGGTGACTTAATAATTAGTAAATTTGCGGGCGACAGTGTCGGGTGAATCCGATGAAATTTTCGGATGAAATTCGGAATCCCCATTGCAAGATTCCGAATTCCGGCCCACACCCGGCACACCCGGCCCAGAAAGTCTATTATACCAACCCATTCCAGACTCCAGTGATGGCGTGGCGGCCCGTTAAAGCCACCGGTCACATACAACATGATCATCATCGCTCCACCCCCACCCCCCATATAATGTTCAGCAGAAAAAAGGTTTTTTAGACGAACTGGACAAAATTATTTTTTTTCATTTTTTGTCCGACCGGCCCTTCGGGTGATCGCCTGATGGCCCAATCCGCCCCTGCTTATCACAGCCATCTTGGAATTGTGACGTATCAAAAATCAAAGTCTGTCAATCGATGCACAACAGATCATGCATTGTATATAGGAACAACAATATTTCCAATGTAGCTTATTTATACAATAATATTTTTTCTTATATTTCCTTCTTTTCATCTGTAATATGTTTTAAAAGTAATATGATGTAATAAGTAATATAACCCTCAAATGACATTATATCTCGACCAGCATATCTGCGTACTAAAACATTTAAACTTTAGGTTTTATTCCCTATAAATCTATATTGAGGTTAGCGGAACATGATACTGAAGTGTATTTAGAACAAAAAAATACACCTGGCATTACAATGACGCAATATGGACAGTTTATATATATACATGTATATAGGGATAATCGAAATGAAACTGCTCTACAAAATGGCCGCTCTTTGTACGCAAATTGTGTAAAAGTATGCAATATCAAGGTTGTGGACCCTCTAGAGGTCACAATTTTTATCCGATTTTGATGGAACTTAAAGCATATCTTTATATCCCAAAGATCTCAGTCCCTTCTGATATTTACGCATTTCAGACCATAACTTTCTGGATTATTCTCCTGATTGTACAAAAAATCCTGTTTTTTGCTTGTTCTCTAACCATCTCTTGCAAAATGTGGGCCCATCCTGCCTGGCAGCCGCTGGTGGGATTTCAGCGGGGGACATCAGCCTCTCTGTTGTTGTTCAATTTATTGTTTGTCATCAAGTAAACATCTGGATGTCACATTGTATAGACAAACGTTTATAGGTACGGCAAAATTTTGTCCATAGATTTATGATTATCTCAATGCAACATTGATTTTTTATTAAAATAATTTTGATATACATCATTCTGTCATCTGTAATATTTTAGTACCGGTATATTTAAAAAAAAAAAAAGAATTTGATGAATTTATTGAAAAATTACCTATAAATGGCAGCTAGCCCTCCCAGATTTCTCTCATGAAGCTACTAGTTTTGTTCTTATGTGAACTCTTCACTAAATCTTTACTAACTGCAGAATAACTTGACCTGCTAAGAATTTCATGACTCTAGTCACCTCCAACGAGATACTGGACCCTGAATCAAATTTCACAAAAATGACTCTAATAGATTTTAACTCCAGAACAAATACTGGAGTGGAATCTGTCAATCAGAAAGCTCTGGTTCTATTATCAGTCATTATACCAGAGTAAAAACTAAGTCGTAATTTGAACAGCAAATTAAAACGAAAGTCAATCGTTTTTATCATGGATTATAATCCCACTGCTGTTTAATTTAGTAAGCTCAATCAATAGAAGGGGATCACGTGGCTAAGTGGGTAAGACGCTAGCTCGCTAGCCTGGAGGTCGGGTGTTCGATCCCTGCATTGGCCGAGAAAGTTCATCCAGATTTTCCGGCGTGGTTCTCCCTTGTCAGTGATGCAGGACGGAGGGGCTGACAAGGAAAGCTGTCTAGTCGTTCGGATGGGACGAAAAACCGAGGTCCCGTGTACACATTGGCATGCACGTAAAAGATCCCTTGGCAGTTGGAATTCGATATAAGAGTAGGCCGTAGTGCCGCTGTCTGGGCAAAATTTCCCTCCTGGCTCACTGTATGGCGTATGCCCGTCTTCATTAGCCCAGTTTAGGAGCAGAACAGTAGGACGTTAAACCCCATTTCATTTCATTTTCATTTCATTCCATTCAATAGAAATGGCATGGCATATATTATCACTTAGAAGGAACTCTTATCTAAAAAGATTTGCTCACAAGAGCGAGACTGATCAACCCTAAGCAGGGATCCACAAACAAGTGAGGCTGATGTCCCCCGCCGAAATCCCACCAGCGGCTGCCAGGCAGGATACGCCCACATTTTGCAAGAGATGGATAGAGAACAAGATAAAAACAAACAGGATTTTTTGTACAATCAGGGGCAATATTAAAAACAGCAACGATCACAGCGAGATTAACTTAAGCTGATTAACTATGCTAATAAAAGGCTGTTCGTGTGTTACCTTACTATATTGTGTAACCTAAAATTTAGAGCCTAACTTTTATCTGAATATGACAACTTTTATTGAGTAGCTCATAGAACTTAGCTGCTGTTGGTATACGTTTTTTATGACTGATGATATTTTAAATCAAATTATTTTATCTTACAGGGGAGATTGGTATATGTTAAACCCCATAATGCCTGTACCATTGTAGAAAAACCACCAAAGCAAATGCATTTAATGGTTAAATGGATTGCATTAATTGCAAGGGAGGGATGTGATTTTGCTGAAAAGGTATATTATTATTCTGTAATATAACTGTGGTGAATTATGTAGCTAATCAAGAATTCTCCCATGCTTTCTAATCACATTTAGAAGTTATATGGAGAAGGCCCTCAACTATTTATACGCCCACATGTAGTTTTTGCCTACAGTAGAATCTGTATTAAGCAACCACCAAAGGGAATTTTCACGACTGACCGCTAACGGGAGTGGCCTCTTATTGAGTCTGAATAAAATCTCAGTGTTGTTTTTGTGCTGACATCAATTAAATATTACGCTTGGATGCATTGGAAGCAAACATCAATACTTGCATCGGTAAATTTGGCCGTCGCTGAAACTTGCTTGGAACGAAAATTCTTTGACTCAAATCTGACGTAACTTCTGTAAACGTGTCATTTTGTATCAACATCGATACTACTGTCTACCATTGTGATGAATTCGATAATATTTATCCATTTTTGTAAAGAAAATCCATGAATTAATTTTATTTTATCAAACAAGCACATGAACAAAAAAACATTGCTGAATTTGTCACCTATAATCAGGGGGTGTAACTCTGCATGTAATATTATAGGAGGCGCTAAAACGCCTGTTTAGCAATGAAGTAGCAATAGAAAATAGATACTAGATGACCGTGACAAAACTCAGGTTTGTCGGTACTTTTAGTTTATTCAATCAGTATCAAATAATGTTTCGTTCCGTGTGAAAAGAGTGATCAGGGTTTGTCGTTTAATAAAACAAAAGATTAATTAACAGATAATCCCGGGTTTATTGTTGTCCCCCGCCTTTCGAAGAAAGCAGGGGACTATTAAAATGGGTTCGTCCGTCTGTCTGTCTGTCTGTCTGTCCTTCTGTCTGTCCTTCTGTCTGTCCGTCTGTCCGTCCGTCTGTCTGTCCGTCCGTCTGTCTGTCCGTCACACTTTTTGGGACACAATAACTCTCTTCCTAATTGAGCTAGAATGTTCAAACTTGGTGTATGTGTTTATTAGGTCAATGCCTTGATGGAGTTCGAAGATGAGCATTTTCCGCTTAGGGTAAGCAGAGATAAGCAATTTGATTGGTTGATGCTTTGGGACACGATAACTCTCTTCCTAATTGGGCTAGAATGTTCAAACTTGGTGTATGTGTTGATTAGGTCAATGCCTTGATGGAGTTCGAAGATGAGCATTTTCCGCTTAGGGTAAGCAGAGATAAGCAATTTGATTGGTTGATGCTTTGGGACACGATAACTTTTAATTGAGCTAGAATGTTCAAACTTGGTGTATGTGTTTATTAGGTCAATGCCTTGATGGAGTTCGAAGATGAGCATTTTCCGCTTAGGGTAAGCAGAGATAAGCAATTTGATTGGTTGATACTTTGGGGCACGATAACTCTCTTCCTAATTGAGCTAGAATGTTCAAACTTGGTGTATGTGTTGATTAGGTCAATGCCTTGATGGAGTTCGAAGATGAGCATTTTCCGCTTAGGGTAAGCAGAGATAAGCAATTTGATTGGTTGATGCTTTGGGACATGATAACTTTAGTTCTAATTAAGTGAGATTGATGAAACTTGGTGTATAGTTTCATTACAGTAATACCTTGACTAAGTTTGATAATGAGCATTTTCTGCTCAGGGTTAGCAGAGCGATACGCAATTTGATTGGTCGAGACTTTGGAAGTAAAGATATACTGTTTGATTGTTCAATACTTTGTAAAAGATAATTTGTGATAAATTTATATGTGTCCTCTAATTATTTTCCTATTTCGGCGGGGGACATCAGCCTCACTGTTGGCTTGTTATTTTCACATTTCTTTTTACCTAGTCAATAACTATTAATCATGGGATTAGCGGGGGTGTTACAAAGAAATGGGAAATGTTTTGTTAAATTTGTTAGTAAAATAGTGACCGCTGGCCGCGTTAGAGGAGTGACCATTGATTAAAGAGATGAAACAATAGAATTTTTATGGGGGGAATTTATCATGACCGCTTACAAGGAGTTGTCGCTGAATAGGAGTGGCTGTTCATACAGATTCTACGGTATGTATATAGTCGTCACCCTGTCAGTCGGTCCATTCATCAACATATGATTATCCTAAAGTTTCAAATCTGATGTGAAGCATTGGGGTTATGAGAGGACGAAACCTATAAACATTCAATGTTCTGTGTTCTTCCGTTCTGGAGTACGCCCTTTTCCCCCCAAACCCAGTGAAAACGATAGAGGCAACAGTTTTTAACAGAATTTTAAATCTGGTAAATATTATAGAGATCAGATTTCTTGAACGTATCCTTTCTTTATTAAATTTGGTAAACATCCACGTTTTCCTTTTGGATAAGGTGCTGTCGAGACATAGCTGCTATGTGGGGTATTTACACTCTTTGTGTGGCTATCTTTGAAAATAAGATGAGATTTTAAATGTTATTTTCATACATACAGGTATTAAATGCACAGAGAGCGGGATATGATATAGCAATTGTATTTAATACAATTGGCTCTGATGATTTAGTCAGAATGGGTGGAGGTCAGTAGGTCAACGCTTAACACAACAAAGAATCTGCTAGATAAAACTTAAACTTTAAAAAAAAAAGATAATACTTCGAACAAATCACTAGAACACTTTTTATGGTATAATAAATAATAACTCTTAGCATTAAACAAAGGCACAACAATCCAGTTTTTTCACATATAATATATATATATACACATATATATATGAAATTCCAAAGAGTTATAAGTGGTCCAAGGTAAGGCCGTCGGGCACATAGTCCAGCAGAGCGTAATCAATAACGAACAGTATTAGCACTGATGAACTTGCCCCCTTTGCCAAAAACCATGCTGCAGTCTTTAATGGATTTGTTTGAAATCCAGTGTAAAGCATTGTGATCATTTTTCTGAATGAAAACCCTGTGAAATCCATAGAGGTAACATTTTTAACCTAATATTTCAAGATTCTTTGAAGGTATCCTTTCTTATCAAATTTGGTCAACATCGGGTATGCTGCTGTTGAGATATGCTACTTTGTAGGCGTATTTCAACACTTTGCATGGTTATCTTTGAATTTTGAAATGTATCGGATCAATCTGGATTGTTGTGTCTTTAAGTTTAATTTATATACACATTATGTCAAGATCCTGCCAATTTATTTTCGTAATTTGTTATTACGTGTTTTTCATTAATCAGAATAGTTTGACTAAGATTTATGTTTTATCTAGAGATATTGTCTTACGTTGCAAACACCCCCCACCCAACCTTTACTGCTGCAAAAACCTTGCATAATTTATATATATCTTCGCTGCAGGAACCACACTGTCATATTCTTTCTCATAAACCTACCACATCGTAAAGTCTATACAAATTATACCAATAGTTCTAATTTATTTTTTGGTTGTTTACATTTTTTCTTTATAGTGAGTGTTTTAAGTACTGTGCAGATTGTGATTGGTTGTTTGCAGATAAACCTATCGATCTAGTTATGCTGTTTTAATACGTAGTTACAAGAGCAGAATGTGCTTCTCTTTAGATTTGGGGGGGGGGGGGTTGGATGGTCGAATGGTTAGCACATGCGTACTGTATCATAAGACCTGTCATTGAATCAACTGGCGTGGTTTCGAATCCACAGTTGTACGTGAGAAGGAGTAGGGTTGCCTGTTCAACCTCGTGGGTTTTCTCCGGATCCTCCGGTTTCCTCCCACTGCTAAAGACCCCTACGCGCAAGCTGAAAGCGAATTATTGAAATAAAATTAAACCATATGTTAGTCCCAAAATGACCTAGTTTGTGTTGAGTGGACGTTAAACCCCATTTCCCTCTCTCTCTCTCTCTTTAGATTTGAATGGAGTGACTAACTGAATGAATATATTATCTAGTTTGAATTAGATTGTCTCTAATTTTGCAGTTATCATTGTTAACACAATAGAGAGTTTTAGTCAAATGTGGTGAGCGGATTGCAAACCTTGAGATGAAGATCCCCATTGATTTTCGACATTCTAGCACATCTTGTTTCAGATATATTTCCTCTGTCTTTTCGACAGGAATATTTCTTGTTTACACGATTTTTTTCAAACTTGATATGAAGCATAGGCACCATAAGATGATGACCCCTATCGATTTTCAATGTTCTCCAATTTTCCAATCTTGAGTAACTGCCCTTGTCATTCTGACATTGCAATTTCTCATTAATGTAATAGAGACTAGAGTTTTTGATGGATGTTTTTCAAATTCAGTTGGGATCATAAGAAGACGAACCATATCAATATTCAGCAGTCCACGACCATCCCTTCCAGTGTGAAACACCCGCCCACCCCCCCTCCCTCCCAAAACAAATCATGTTAACGTAATAGAGGTTACCCTATTAATATTCAGCACTTTGTGACCTACTGTTCCAGACACTACAACTTGGGTATAGTGGAGTTGCTGTATTTAATGTTTAGTTTCTAACCATCGCAGGCAAATTGTTCTAATTTGTTCAGAATCAAAGAAAAATATTGGGTTCCTACTGCTGCATAGTTGAAAATAGGTCATCTAGATTAGATATAATGAGTGTTGGGTTTACAACTGTGTTCTTTCACTAGCGGTGTTGAGTAATTAATCATTTGCCTTATTCATTAAGTTTGTCGCTTTATTAATTTCTAAGGCCCTGTAATGCTTTCTACCTTGATTAGACAGCCAATCAAATCTTTTTAAAAAGATTTTGCAGAATATTCTGTATGACAGGTTTCAGTTGGTAAATTGAAGTGTAATTGACAAATCACAATCTGCATATTACTACAGTATAATAAATCATGTCTTTAGTGCCAAAAACAACCAAAAAATAAAAATACAAAATGTTGGTACAATTTTAATTAGATTGTCAAAAAAAAAAATTTTTCCATGAAAATTTAGAGAGGAAGAACATGGATGCAATTAAATGTACTATAGTTGATATAAAGCTGGTAATTTTCAGGTGTTACATGCACAAGATGCAGGTTTTGATGTAGCTATTGTATTTAATAAAAAAGGTGATGAACATTTGGTACCTATGAGCGGAGGAACTTGTAAGTATATGATGCCTCGACAGTAGATATTGTGTGTTTTACTAACCCTTAGATGAAGTCTTTCTTAAGGTTGTTGTCCACAACATAAATATTTTTGCTGTGACATGTTCTTTAGGTTAATCTGTTGTCTATTCACTTGTAAACATTTGAAGTGCATGAAACAATCATCCTTTTCAATAACAAAAGTTTTAACGTCAAAGAATAAATGGAATGTATGATTTAATAGTATGCAGTATATGGTATATTACACAGCTTGTTCACATGAACATGATACATTATACATACATTTATTATGTAGGAGGAAACATCCTGACAAGATAAAGCAAAGATATTGCAGGCTAAGCTGTATAAAATAAGTATTGATATGTAACATCACACTCAAAATGATATTCTTACTTGATTATTTCTTGTTAAGTCAAAATGCTTTCTACATTGTTGGATATGTTGATGTCTGGACAGTCGAATCTGCTCAGGAAAATAGTCTGAACTGTCCATATGATCGATCGAAGGTACATGTATGAAAGTTGAAAGATTGTATAAAGCTTTTATTCTTCTTTTTTTTAACTGCGTGCTGAACTTATTTAGTAATAGAATAAGCACTTAAGAATTTTTGTGACATTATTACCTTTTTTTCATCTTTGACAGGTTTAATTATTGTTTATTTCTCTTTCTTATTCATTCTTTCAAGTACCTGTCTTACCCATCCATCATCCTGCTTAGCACATAGTTAATTAAATGATATTTTAATTGAGATGGCTTGTCCCTCTGCTCTTGTGATGTTTATGGTAAACGCGTGTCTTAATCAAAATACAATTCTAAGCAATCTCCTCTATATTAGACTTTAGAGCTTCACTATAACGCTGTTCTTGCTGTGGTGAGGTTACAGTGTATACTACTCGGGCTGATTATTGCCACCCACCTTTCGAAGAAAGCAGGGGACAGACTATTAAAATGAGTCTTTCTGCACTACATGTTACACTTTTTGTGACACGATAACTCTGCTTCTAATTGAGCTAGAATGTTTAAACTTGGTGTAGGTATTTATTAGGTGATCGAATGCCTTGATCAATATTAATCGTAACTGACAATCTAATATTTCTGTAATTCTGTATTCATATTTTCTAAACGCTGTATTATTTATAATATCATGTGCATTACTATTTATAGGCAAATACAAGCTACTGCTGACAATGAACTTGCTCCAGACCTTTTTTGTAATCTTTGAAAAATGTTTTATTAGATCCCATTACTGTTTTACACTATAGAAAATGTGTAATGATAGTAGAATTAGTATGCTATTAAAAGACATGTTGGTGACTTTTATTCTTGTTTTTACAGATGGAACTCGAGTATCAATACCTTCAGTATTTGTTGGTTACAGTACTGGCAAAGACATGGCAGATAATTTTGATTATCGAAAGAAGTAAGTTGTGTCTAAATACAACTCTGCCTTGGAAAATAATAGTGACTTTACTGTTGGACTGGTGAATTTCCCCTTAAAGATGCATTATGTAAGCTAAATTGGCCTATTTCAGGTCTTTATCTTGGCTTCACATGTTACATAAACTATTATTTAGACATTTATTAACAAGACAAGCCCATGATCAACACTCTAGACTGTCAGATGCCAGCTAGATTTTAAAATTTAACAATGAAATGGACAGTCTTGCATGTCAGGTACCATTGCTACAATAATATACAATCTAAATTCTAAGCTATCTGATCTATTTTTGAACTATTATAGCAAGAACAGCCAGCTCTTTATCTAAATCTTACAAAATGCATCTTTAACCATGTAGTTTTGGGTTCTAAAATTAAGTAGTGATGGGTGTTGTGTATAAAGCAAAGTATGCCTACTATTTCTTAAACATTAACAGAACAGTTTTTATTGGAAACAATCACTAGTTTTATTCTAAAAACACATCGTTTCGACAAGTATCCTCTTATCGTTATCAAGCACTAATTTTAGAATAAAACAAGTGATTATTTCCCATAAAAACTGTGTTCTGTTAGTGTTTCTCGATTGCTAAACGTCACTCAAAGATTATATTTCTTTAACACCTGTACTGATTTCCGCTTCTCATTTTAGTTAAGCACAAATATAGTTTAATAAAAAAAAGAATTACCAGCAGACAAAGGCCTGCAAAGTGCTCTAATGTATAATTATTAAGTAAATTAATAATTTTGTGTAATTTTCATTTTCAGTAATATATTAATAACCATGGATGGTGGAATACCATTACCCAATTATAAAGTTTATCTGTGGCCATTTGCTATTGTTGTTGGTACATGTTTTTGTTTAATGGTTATTTTTATGGTAAGTTTAATGGTTATTTATGGTAAGTTTATATTTACTTTAAATTTAAATTTTTGTTTAATGGTTATTTTTATGGTAATTTTAATGGTTATTTAAGATAAGTTTATATTTAATTTAAATTTAATGATATATATGGTTATATTTAAACATTCATTATGCAAGAGCTAAATCGGCGTGTTGCACGTCTTTCTTTAGGCCTGAAATGTTATCTAAATTATTAATTGGGCATTGATTAACATATCCAGACCATAATCAACTCTTGATGTCTTCGCTAGCCTGTGATGTTTATTGGATTAGGTTCAGATTTGCTGTTTGACTTCCATTCATGATTTAATCATGAAATGGATAATCAAGACTATGTTTTTTTTATCGTACCGACTTTAGTAATGATGATCGAGATGAGGCCGAAAATTCAATCGCCAAAATCTCAGTTCAGGGTGGATCAATTTGACTGAAATTTTCAGCAAATTCCCTTTACATTATCTAGTTTTTAACTATTTAGTGAGAACTGCCAGCTCTTTATCTAATCTCCCATAATGTATCTTTAAGGTAAATTTATATGGCTTCTGTCTGCCTAGCTGTGTGCAATCCTTACATATATATACTAATGTCCAAAAGAAAGTATACCCTGTGCATTTCGTCCTGCTTCAAACAAAGTCGTTTTTCCATTGTATGCAGTATTTGGGTACAATGTCCATTTGTTTTGCCGTTTATTTGCTTAGAAATATTGAGTTTAAACAAAATTTAGTCATATTTTTAGTATGAATACTTTCTTTTGGACATTAGTATATTATAAAGCTCCAACATGCTAAAATGATGGTTAGATATAGAATTTAAAAAACGGAAGTAATATTATTAAAAAATATTTTACCCAAAAATATTCAAATTGCTCAATTATAATCTTAGGCAAATATGATAAAATTAATTTTGATATATATAAGCCCACACCTTGTCACCCTGTCCGTCCCTCGATGATTGGCTTGTGAATGGGATAGAGGCTACAGTTTTTGACAGATCTTTTTCAAATTTTGTGTGAAATATTGTGTTCATGAGGGGACGAACCTAAAAAACGCTATTGATATTCCACATTTTGCAACTTTTCCGAAAACTTTTTTTCAAAATTCGGGGGAAGCATTAGGGTCATGAGAGGACGAACCCTATCGATATTAAGTGTTGTGCGACTTCCATTCCGGGATTGTACGCCCTTCCCCCTTGATGAAAACCTTGTGAATGTGATAGAGACCAGTTTTTAACAAATCTTTTTCAAATTTGGTATCAACCTTATTGATAACCAGCTTTCCCCCATTTGCCAAAAACCTTGCCTTGTCAACACTATAGCGGATACAGTGTCAAACAGATCTTCTTCAAATTTGGTGGAAAGTATTGTGGTCATGAGAGGACAAGCCTTGTTGATACTTGGTGTTCCGCAACTTTTTGTTCCAGTGTTACCCAAATATCTGGAATTCAGACAGGCAAAGAGTGGGATTTCTGTACCAAAGCCACATAAATAAGGCTATATTGGAATACTTTCTAGTTTGTATATTCACCGGCAGGAATGGTTGGAAAACAAGTTTGTGGCCATTTAATTTTCAAAATTATCTGGGGGTTCCAGCTTACCCCTCCCAACACTGAACAGGCCCGTACACCTCTGTGGGAACTAGTTTAGCTCTTTGAAATCAACTCAGTAGTTAAAAAGTTACAATCTGTATTCATTGGGTACCAGTTTAACTGTTTAAAATCAACTGATTAGTTCGTAGGTTACAATCTCTATTCAGTAAGTACTAGTATAACAGTTTAAAATCAACTTACTAGTTAGGAATATTCATCAGTTTTCAGGTGGGGGGGGGGGGGGCCTTTGCCCTTCGTATACGGTGACAGATAATAACTGCCAGATTTATGATCCTTGATGAGTTTGAAAAAAAACCTTGTAGGTGTTGAAAATTATAAATATATTTTTTCGAATAGCTTTATTTTACACACAGTGTGTATGTTTAAGAAGTGAAGACTTCTAGAAATACTTCCGATTTATTTACCCATGATCACTGTAGTGGTTAAAGTTGTCTTCCAATTGATTTGAAATTAATACACATTGTTTATATGATAAAGCCTATTGATTTTTAATGATTTGTGATAAATGTGAGAGCTAAATTTATCATCGTTACCGATACATGTTTCGTCTGTCCGTCTGTCTGTCTGTGTGTCTGTCGTCCTTCTGTCACACTTTTTGGTACACAATAACTCTCCTTCTATTTGAGCTAGAATGTTCAAACTTGGTGTAGGTGTTTATAAGGTCAGAGCCTTGATGGAGCTCAAAGATAAGCGTTTTCTGCTTAGGGTAAGCAGAGATAAGCAATTTGATTGGTTGATGCTTTGGGACACGATAACTTTAGTTCTAATTAAGTGAAAGTGATGCAACTTGGTGTATAGTTTCATTACATCAATACCTTGACTAAGTTCGATAATGAGCATTTTCTGCTCAGGGCAAGCAGAGCGATAAGCAGTTTGATTGGCCGAGACTTTTTAACACAATAACTCTCCTTCAAATTGAGGTAGAATGTTCAAACTTGTTGTAGGTTTTTATTAGGTCAATGCCTTGATGGTGTTCAAAGATGAGCATTTTCTGCAAAAGGTAAGCAGAGATAAGCAATCTGATTGGTTGATGCTTAGGGTCACGATAACTTTAGTTCTAATTAAGTGAGAGTGATGAAATTTGGTGTATAGTTTTATCAAATCAATACCTTGAATAAGTTCGATAATGAACATTTTCTGCTCAGGGTAAGCAGAGCGATAAGCAGTTTGATTGTTCCAGACTTTTGAACACAATAACTCTCCTTCTAATTGAGGTAGAATGTTCACACTTGGTGTAGGTGTGATGAAATTTGTTGTATTGTTTTATCACATCAATACCTTGACTAAGTTCGATAATGAGCACTTTCTGCTCCGGGTAAGCAGAGTGATAAGCAATTTGATTGTTTGAGACTTTGGCACACAATAACTCTCCTTCTAATTGAGGTAGAATTTTCAAACTTGGTGTAGGCGTTCATTAGGTGAATGCCTTGATGTAGTTTGATGATAAACATTGTCTGCTTACAGTAAGCAGAGATAAGCAATCTGATTGGTTGATTCTTTGGGGAACGAAAACTTTGGTTATAATAAAGTGAGAGTGATGAAACTCTGAGTATAGATTCATTATATCATTATCTTGACCAAGTTCGATGATGAAAATTTTCTGTTTTGGCTAAAAGCGATATGCAGTTTGATTGGTCAAGACTTTGGAACATAACTCTGCTTTTAATTGAGGTAGAATGTTTAAACTTGATCAGTTTTTAGTGTCTTTAAAATACTCCCATTACCTACAAAACAAGAAATATGTTACAATCATTATTGACTGCTCGGATGGTTTAACTGCTGGGGACGTATGTTTTGTTGTCTGGCAATCTATCCTTAACAGATTTAATGCAAAGACTTGTGACAATGACAGGATGAGGTCTACCGATTTTCCTAGTTCTCTTGTATAATGTTTGCGTATTTTGCATGGCAACTGCTTGTTTATACTCTGAAAGTTTATATTTAGCTTTTAGAAATTCACTCATAGGATGATGATTACCGTTGTTGTTAAAATTCTATATTTTCAGATAGCTAAATGGTGCCGTGATAGACGTAGGAGAAATCGATCAAGGCTTTCTACTAAACATCTAAAAAAGATTCCTATTAAGAAATTTAAGAAAGGTATTTAATTTTAAAGGGACATAAAACTGTCCATTTCCTTGGATCTTTCTCCTATTTCAGTTGCCCATTAATTTTCCAATGAATTTTATTATGACATCCACCATTCTGTTGACTTGGCTTGTTAACGCAATGGAGGTTACAGTTTTTAACAGATTCTTGTTATCGTGACAGAGGCTACAGTTTTTATACACACACACGATAGCTTGCAGGTGCTCCAAGCCAGCTCTGTGATCATTCTAAAATTTGTCATTTAACAGTGAACATATGTTGAGGTAGGATAACCTTTTATTAGAGCTTAAATTTAGCTGCGTGGGGCACCCTATCACTGACTGATTGACCAATTTATTCAATGCTTGTTTACTTTTTTGTTGTGAGGTGTGTTGTCTTTGACAATGTCAAACTATTTTATGTTAAGGAACAAAATTAATATGCATACTCTTTTATATTCAGTAAGTTATTGTTTTTCTTTTAAGGTGATAATTATGATGTTTGTGCCATTTGTTTAGATGATTATGAAGAAGGCGATAAATTGAGAATTTTACCTTGTTCACATGGTAAGTCACCCATTTTATACGCCCACATGGAAATGTGGTCGTATATTGCCGTCGGTCCATCGGTCAGTCCGCACGTCCGTCCATCGTTCACAATTTCTTGTGAACACTCTACAGATTACATTTATCATCTGATTGTTTTGCTTTGGTGAGATGAAGAAGCCTATTTAATTTTAATAACGTCCGTTAATTTCTTCTGGAGTTATGGCCCTTGTTTCACTTTGTTGCACCTTGTGAAAGCTCTAACGACAAAAGTTATCAACCGATCTGTATGAAATTTATATGCATCATTTAAATTAGTAAAACAAAGAAGCCTATTGAATTTCAGCAATTTCCGTTAATTACATCTAAAGTTATGGCCCTTGTTTCAATTTGTTGAATCTTGTGAACGCTCTAATGACAACAGTTATCATCCGATCTGTTTGAAATTGATATGCATCATTTAAATTAGTGAAATGAAGAATCCTATTGAATTTCAGCAATTTCCGTTAATTTCTTCTGGTGTTATGGCCCTTGTTTCACTTTGTTGCACCTTGTGAACGCTCTGACGACAAAAGTTATCAACCGATCTGTATGAAATTTATATGCATCATTTAAATTAGTGAAACAAAGAAGCCTTGTAAATGCTCTAACGACAAAAGTTTCTATCCGATCTGTATGAAATTTATATGTATCATTTAAATTAGTAAAACGAACAAGCCTATTGAGTTTCAGCAAATTTCCGTAAATTACATCAAGAGTTATGGCCCTTCTTTAACTTTGTTGAATCTTGTGAACACTTGAACGACAAAAGTTATCACCTCATCTGTATGAAATTCATATGCATCATTTAAATTAGTGAAATGAAGAAGCCTATTGAATGTCAGCAATTTCCGTCAATTACTTCTAGAGTTATGGGCCTTGATTTACTTTGTTGAACTTTGTGAACGTTCGAACGACAAAAGTTATCATCCGATCTGTATGAAATTTATATGCATTATTTGAATTAGTAAAACGAAAAAGCCTGTCGAATTTGAACAATTTGAACCTATCTTTTTAAACAGTAAAATCTTTTAAACTAGCCTTCTTCAGGAGGGTTTGCAATAAAGGTTATTGTGACAAAACAGTTGTTTGTCCTGAAAAAGACACTTCATCCCTGTATTTCAGTGAACCCAGCTCTAATTGGGTACCTTTACTTTGGTGTGTGTGCAATTATACAAAAAAATGTTGTGCTCTTTTTAGCAGTGCGTTCTAAGATATAAAGGAGGGGTAGTGAAGCCATGGACCAGGTAGTAACTGTGTCTCACTTTGATCGTAATCCTTAGTGGTGTGAATAGTGAATATACATATCAATTGTGCTCTGCGTTTCGAAGAAAGTAGGATACTTTTAAAATGGGTTTGTCTGTCTGTCTGCCGTCCGTCCGTCCGTCACACTTTTTGGGACACAATAACTCTCCTTCTTATGAGCTAGAATGTTCACACTTGGCATAGGTGTTTATTAGGTCAATGCCTTGATGGAGTTCGAAGATGAGAATTTTCTGCTTAGGGTAAGCAGAGATAAGCAATTTAATTGGTTGATGCTTTGGGACACGATATCTTTAGTTCTAATTAAGTGAGAGTGAGGACACTTGGTGTATAGTTTTATTACATCAGTTTGATTGCTTGATACTTTTGAGAAAAATAAATGTGTGATTAATTAATATGTGTCATCTATTTATTTTGGGATTTCGGCGGGGGACATCAGCCTCACTGTTGGCTTGTTATTATTTTTATTTTCGTATGGTTACAATGCACACAAGATTAGGATTCGATCCTAGAACAGTCCACACAAACACATATTATTTTATTCTTCACTTGTAATCAATGTTTTAATTAACTGAAATATTTTAGCCTATCATCGGAAATGTATCGACCCCTGGTTGACAAAAAACAGAAAGACCTGTCCTATCTGTAAAAGACGAGTCATACCAGGTGAAGAAAATGAATCAGACAGCGATTCTGATGAGGATGGTGGGAGCACAAGTCATGCCGAACCAACAGAAAGAACACCATTATTAGCCACACAACCAGCGGTATCTGCCTCAACTCCTCGAACTTCCACTTTTGATAATTCAGGTTTGTTTTAAATTTTGTTGGGTAAAAAAATATTTTTGTTTCGGGCAGATATTTTTCTTCATGTCTTAAGAGTCATTCCATAAGAAAACCAAGCAAAATCGTGCAAAAGTGATGTAGTGGGGGTTTCGGAAGTTTTGATTCATATTCTCATTTTTGGTCACCAATGTCTGCTTCGGAGCCAAAATAGTTTTGAAAATATTTACCAGTAGCTTTTTGAAGATATAGGGATTGGACATTTTTTTTTAGCTGAATTTGATCAATTTTAAACTAAATTTTAGTCTTTTTTAACAGTTCCATATTGAATATACTGTCAAAGATGTGAGTCGACAAAAACGTGAAATGTCACACTTGTGATAGTATTCTGCTTTCAGAATCACATGATGACATATTTCCATCATTTAGCTAAAGAAATGTTGTCATTTATGTAAAAAAAAATAAGCTCTTTGTTGGACCCTGAAAAATGCACTTACTTTGTGCAAATGTGAAGCTCTTGCTGCGGATCTGGGCTTGGTGGACGTACTAATGGATATTAATGGATATTTCTGCACCTACTGGGCTAATGAAGATAAGCATGCACAAAACAGTGTACTATAAGGGAAATTTTGCCTTATCAGCAGTTGAATTACAACTGTCAAGGGCTCTTGACAGTTTGTACATGAGACTGCTAAAAATTGTAGAATAAATCAGTAATTGTTGACTTTTAAATTTGAAACTTCGAATATTGTTTACGCAGGGTTACCAGAATCTGTACGAGCAGAAGTTACAGGTTTACAACAAGTTGTAGAAAGCTCAGAAGATTCTGATGGTTCTGTACAGGGTGCTGTGGGTGGTATGTCGGTACAAGTTGAGGATAAACACCCAGTTAAAAACCATTCTGGTAGCTCATCAGGGGGAAGTAACACTTCATTAGCATCCAGAAACGGTATGTATTCAGCTCTTATTAACCCTTGTGACCAAGTGGTCTAATTTATACAATTATGCCACTGTGATATGTCATAGTGTTGTGGTTTTAATCCCACACTTGTACTTGACAAGAAGGATAACTTGCCCTAGCTCATGGCAACACTCCAACGCACAAGTGAAAATAGAGAGTTTATTCTTAGTTTGTGTTGAATGGACGTCATCTTTGTATACACCCACATATCAAAGAGAAAAGAAGTTTAATTACCAGGATCTGTTTTGACCCAATTCTGGCCAGTTCATTTCAAAATAGATTAAGAACCCTATAATAAACCCTAAAAAATGGATGTTAAAGATTTTGAATTAAAGTAATATTTTGCTTATTGGTTGTTGCATCGTGATAAGATTTTAGAATATTATGTTAGGTTTAGTTCAATTAATATCTCCAAAGCATGCAGGTTTAATAGGCAAGATCAAATTACTTGTAGTATTTTACTGTTTGCTTTTACTGGGTTCTCAAAACAAAATAGTTGAATTGCCTATTAACTGTTTTGTTACTAAATTAGATTTCTTGATCTAGCTTTCTGTATTTTTTTTCGTAGAAAATAGTCTTGATTTTCCAGGCCTGAACGATCAGTAGACTGGGTTAGTGCGACTTATTTCAAATCAAGGGCATGTAACCTATTTTGCTCTAAAAAATTCCTGGATGTGGTATCTGACCATTTGTTTACAATTTCAGTCTATTTTTTTTATTGCACTTTAAATGGTAATAAATTGTTAAATACAACATGACAGTTTCTGTAGTGATGATGAATGTGAGTAACTACTGTCTGAACTGTCGTAAATTTTAAACGGATTTCTTCGATTATGAACAAACTACTTAACTTTGGTTATTATAAACTTACCTGTGTGTTTGAAATTATCTCTGGTTAAATAAAATCCATTGTACAACTAAATATCCCAGCAAATAAAAAAGTTCTCTCTTGTAAAATTGAACGCATCACAAACTTGACATCGAGAAATACAAAAATGGAAGCTAATTACGTCACTTATCGGGGTCGAAGCAAGGCTTGTCTATCGTAAAGGTGTTTGGCTCTTTTACGACAGTTCAAATTTTGTGTATGAATAATCTATTGCTCTCGGACCCAGTAATGAGTTTGGCCGTTTACAAACATAAATACGCCCGTACAGAACAGAACAATATTTCTTGATGAACTTAAGCAGTCCTGTCAATTAACCTCGGCAATCTGCTGTAGCCGAGGTAAATCCGTAAATGCTGATGTTTTTTGCAATTGCCTCAGCAAAATTAATAGCCGAGGCCATTGAATAGGTATACCGGTAACATTATTTTATTTTAATAAATACCAAAAATTATTATCAACAAATCGTACCGCACATTGGTTTAATTATCGGCAGACAGTTCCATGTCTTTCTATTTCTCTTCCAATATTATTTCCGTTGTGCAAAAACTGTTCAGAATTTTATAATCGTGCGTCTCGGTAACACAATTTCCAAAAATCCCGGCTTCGTTTTGAAATTCACAGGGCAATGAATCCACACGATGGTACTCTCAGTTATTAACTATATATTAATCACAAGTACAACTCCATTTTGAAATCCATGGGGAATGGAATTTTCTGATGGCATTTCGTAGATCGCGATCATGCCTCAGCCAATCAACGCTTTGAATTCTAGTACCGTAAAAGGTACCATGCCATGTGAGTTATTGTATGCTACACAGATGCAGTGAAAATGGTTAAATTTAGCGCGAAACCGCATAATTAACACACAAGACCCAATAATACACGCAATCTGCGATGCCTCTATTGCAATTGATTTTTTGTTTTAAATACATTTTTATAAAGACATCCCAAACTTCTTATCAAGAATGTGTCGATTTCAGTATCTGTTGAATAAACTAAAAAAAGTAATTTAATCAGGAATATTACTGACATGAACAGTCGTAACGTGAAATAAATATGGAAATTATTGAGAAGTGGTGGCCCTTTTTTGTGGTAATCATAAAACTTTGAAAATGGACAAAATAGAGCATTGGAATTAGACCCCGTTATTTGATCAATTAAAATTATGAAATAAAGTGTGTTTATTTATAAATGTTAGCCACAAAGTTGCCTATAATTGGCAGGGATGTAATATAATTTATAAAAATATATTATACAGGCAGTGTATTTAAAATTATGGGGTGATGATGATGTAATGTGAAAAGCATTGTGAATAAAATTTAGTAGACTGACAATCTGTTGTTTCCAAATTAATGTTATTGTCTTTAGTTGCTATTTTTGTTGCCCAAACTCAAACGATCAAAAAGGTTGTGTGCTGTTATGATTACAACCCACGTGATAGTCAAAATTTGTCAACCTTTACCCTCTTCAGCATATTACGATGGTTTAGCTCGTCACATGACATGTGTAATGTTATGATGGACATAGTCGGAAATACAAGCAAAATCATTGACTTTTCAAGAGAGAACTTTTTTTTTTTCGTTGGGATATTCAATTGTGCAATGGATTTTATTCAACCAGAGGTGATTTCAAACACATAGGCAAGTTTTTAATAACAATTATTCAGTAGTTTGTTCACAATCGAAGAAATCTGTTTAAAATTTACCACGGTTCAGACAGTAAGTTAAGGCTTGTTACATATGTGAATATTGTGCTATAATTTAAGTTATCAATATATGTGGAGATATTTATTGGGGGGGGGGGGGGCACCCTAATATTGAGAATTTTCTGCTCAGGTTAGTTGAACAATAAGTCACATGTCTTTCACGTGGAATTCCCCTTGTTGGTGTTGCAAGACAGTTGGCCTGACAAGGAACAGCGTCTAGTTGTTCTAATGGGACGGGGGTCACAGTGGCTAAGTGGGTAAGACGCTGGCTCGCTAGCCTGGAGGTCGGATGTTTGATCCCTGCATTGGCCGAGAAAGTACATCCAGATTTTCCGGCATGGTTTCCCCTTGTCAGTGATGCAAGACGGAGGACCTGACAAGGACAGCTGTCTAGTTGTTTGGATGGGACGAAAAACTGAGGTCCCATGTACACATTGACGTGCACGTAAAAAATTCTTTGACAGTTCGAATTCGATATAAGAGTAGGCCATAGTGCCGTAGTGCCGGTGTCCGGGCAAAATTTCCCTCATAGCACTCTGTATGGCGTATGCCCGTCTGTATTAGCCCAGTTCGAAGCAGATCGATAGGACGTTAAACCCCATTTCATTTCTAATGGGACGGAAAACTGCGGTGCCGTATACAATTTGGCATGCACGTAAAAGAACCCTTGACAGTTGGAATTCGAAATAAGAGTAGGCTGTAGCGCTGCTGTCCGTGCAAAATTTCTCTTATAGCACACTGCTATGCGTATGCCCAGTCAGTGCAGAACAGCAGGATCTTAAACTATGTTTTATTTCACTAAGTTTGATGATATGAGCATTTTCTGCTTAGGCTAATAGTAATTGCAGGAGGACAGCACCACACCTAAACAAAATACACAAGACACCTCCGCTGACAAGATGGACAATATACAGACATATTGCAAACAATACACAACAAATATCTAATGGATGGGTCCGGGGGCCAGCTGTAAGAGTCCACTGCGCTATACAGTCCCAGATCTGTAGTGCTACAGACCTCACTCAAAATTAAAACAAAATATCAATAAAGGAAACAATCCAAGAAAAAGGGGGAATATTTCCCAAACGTTTTATCAGTCTTGTGTGATTGGCTATGTGCTACAAGAAATTGCAATGTCAGTGTGTTGAGAAATGAGGTAAATGACAAGTAAAATTAAGTGGATTTCTTTGATTATGAGCAAACTACTTAATTACATTTAGTTGAAATTTTTATCTAAATTGGTTTGTAAACAAAGGTTCTTTGCACCTTTAAAAAAAATCAGGAAATTTTTTAGGAATTCTTTTCGGAAGCAATTGAAATAGAAGTATTAGTCACACGCAGTAAATCCCTATATATATTTCTAATTGGACTAGGTTTACCATCTTTTGTGAGTTTATAGTTCTAAAAATAGCACAAAAGCAATTTTGCCAAAAATCCAAGTTACAAGGTTTTGAAAGCCCAGCGACAATTTGTGGAAAATTCAGCCCTTTTTCCGGAATGTTCACATGAACTTGCTAAGCTATCTACTACTGAACAATAAAATAGAATGAAATGTTAATATTTTAATTAAACTGAATTTGTGGTAATTAGATTAATTCTTTAAATCATGTAGGATAATTTGTTTTTTTCAGATAATTCTTTAGCAAGTGCAGGTAACCCAACACCTCCCAGATCTACAACAGGTCAGTCTAACACAGCCTTCAGAGAGGAAGATGAAGTGAGTTTTGTGAAAGAAGACAAAAAATTGAAACTGAATCAAGTTGTTTAGTGACAAGATTTAATGGTTTTTTACTTCCATATTTTAAATAGATTTTTAATTACGATATTTTTGATTAAAAAAAAATTACTATAGGAGCTTTTACAGGTTTCCCTTTTTACTGGCCTTTTCTCTGACAGAAAATTATATAGGCCATTATATGGTATTGAGTGAAAGTACCCTTGTACCAATAGCTTGTATTGCTTAAAATGGACCTGATAACTGTTTCCATTTGCACGAAAGGTTTACTGAAAAATACCAAAAATTGATATTTATGAGACTGTTTGTGTTTTATACACCCACATTTTTATTTGGACGTATTATGTTGTTCGGCTGTCCGTCCGGACGTGCATTTACATTTGTGTGTGGACACTTTACCTACAGGCCACAATATTTATCCGATTTTGACGAAACTTGAAATATATGTTATATCCTAAAGGTCTTGGTTTCTTTTGACCTAGAGATGCAACAACTCTGCTTCTAATTAAAGTAGAATGTTCAGACCCGATTTACATGTTCGTTCGGTGAATGTCTTGACTGATTTCGATGAACTAGAACTTACTAGAAGCCAATCAAATTTTGATTTTTTTGTGATAACTAATTAATAATTAGTCAACTTAGCTGCTGTAGTCGTACATTATTGTTTTTTTTTTGTTTTTTTGTGGCAACCTTTCTTTCTATAAAAATGTTTTGTATGGCGAAATGAAAAACAAAAATTTCTTGCTGAAAGTGCTACTACTTAGGCAAAGTTTTTGATTTTGATTATTTTTTTCAGAGTTCTGCTTACATACTTTTGCTTTCCATTTGTACATATTTGAGAAATTATAAAGTTATAAACAATTATTAATATTATTTATATTTACATGGAGAGATTAATATATCTGAATTTTTTTATGTCATGATTGTTCACATGTTATATATATTTTTTTTTTTTGTCAATTCGCTCATTGATTGTAAAGAAGGTAATGTAGTGTTCCAAATGGAGCAGTGTCTATAAGGCCACACCTATTTGATCTTTCGTTTGTCAGATTTCCGGAACATAATTATGGTCATTGTACTTCTTTTATTTAAAAAAAAATAAATACTATCACACTCCTAATCACAAACAGCTGCTTTTCATTTCAAAGGTTTTAAAAATAAATTAAAACTAGAATTGTCCTAGAAACAGGTTTAAAAAACCGGCAGACCAGACATAAACTACACAGACAACTAGTTGATATTAAAGGTGCTGTTCCATACTTGCTCACATCTAAAATTTTTAAAGGTTGCACACAACTGTTGTTTACAAACCGATTTTGATACAATTTCCAATTGGCGTACTTTATCATTTGGCATCGATGTTTGACATGATTTCAAAGTATTTGCACTTTTATTAGTTTTAAAAAAATAAAAAATTATGACGTCACTATAAAAACAATCTAGGTCAAACATCAAAATGCTATGATCTCATTTTCTAAAGGGAGATAATCAGAACTTTCTGTTAATATATTTGGCTTACTACCTATTTCATTTGTAAGTTTTAAGTCTATATTTTGAAAAATAAAAAAAAGTTAGTTTAAAATTTTAACAATTTAAAGCTTATAATTAGGTCATGCACTGTAGAGACATTTCTTTAGACAAAACTTGTGAAATAAAAACTATTACCAATTGGTGAAAACTGCTTTTCAGTCTAAAAATGTTTCATTGAATGTCAAAAATTGTCTATGATGTCATTTCCTGCAGCCATTGAGCTATTGATCTAAATTGAGCTATTAGATGTTCAAGCCCTCCATATCATCGCCCTCTTTTAATAATACTACCCTTGTAAAATCAGGAAATGCGATGCCCTTGGTCTTTAGTATACTGACAACAAGCAAATTTTTGTGTATGTTTCCATTGTGGTGAATCAGTTTACAGCAAACTTTGGCCGAGTTGAGTCGCTGAATTCATCAGAACGTGCCTATTTTTGTACTGGTTCTGGTTTCCAGGAAAGAATAGCAAACAACTCTCAAAACCCCACAGAATTTGGTTTTGTTACCAAATGACAAATGAGTCTCTTCTATTGTTTTTTTGTTGATTTATTAAAAGTTTAATTTAAAGTGGTGTGGTTTATATCTGATTCAATGATGGGGTATTAATATACTGTTTGAAGCACAGGACCGATCAATTATCTTGAAATTAATTTTTTTATTATTATTAAAATTAACCTGGTGGCTCTCTTGCTCCTTTATTTTAAATTTAAAAATTTTAATTAAAAAAAAATTCGCTCGCTGAAAATCCAGACAAACAAAACATCAAATTGGTGTGGCCTAAACAAACCAACTCTTAATAAATTAATGGCAAATAACGTTTTATAAAATTTCCATAATTAATCAGGTGATAGGTATTTAACCAACCAAATACCATGCCTAAATTTGGGAATTGTTATTTAAAATATGAATACAGTGCTACCAGTGCATTTAAATAATGTTCACATTCCCATATAGATAGTACAGTCTTTTTCACATATTCCTGAAAATTCACAGATTTATTTTTATATGCCCTCGGAAAAAAAGAGTGTAAAGTAGGCCATAAAGAAGAAGGAAAATGTTCCGACTTTTTGGATTGATATTTTCAAATTGGATGTTGTGTTTGAGTTAGGGTTTGATAACAGTATTTGATGGTTTGGGTGAAATTCATTTCCTATTCTAACTTTAATTCCAAATTTCTTTCTCCAGGAATTTGAACTAGACTTTTGTATTATGTTTTTCGGAAGGAATGCCAAACATTGTTATATTTTGTATATTAATTATCAAAATGACATTTATTCACGTGGAGAGTTCATATTCATCTTATGGACATTTACATGTATCCAAAACCTTTTTAAAAAATGACCCTGTAGAACAAGAATATTATTTGTTAATTAATGCTTTTGATGATTCTCCTTACAAGATGATTGTTATTAGATAACTTGGGCCTTATGCAGCATTTTCATTGGCTAAGAGCTTAAATCTTTGCTATAATTTCAATCTGATTAAAATACAGATCTATATTTCGTTTCATTTTTTTTATACTTTCCATGGCCTACACTACATGAAGATCTGACCAGTTGTTTTGGGAGTTCGCATCAGAGGTCATTTGAGTGGCTTTTGACCCTATGACATTAGACATTTGATTAACCAATCAGCATTGATGTTTCTAGTCGATTACCCACAGTTTGGTGCATCTCATGCCAAAAGCTCGCCGTAACAGACCGTTTCATTGCCTAATCCCTCACATCATCCAGAACATGTCAATGATAACAACTCTTCTAGATCCTAGTGTAGTAAAGACATGTAAAAACTATAAAAAACAAAACTAAACGGGATCTGTGTTTTAATCAGATTGTTATAATTTTAGTTCCCCACCAATGAATCATTAGTATTCTTAAAATATTTTAATCTAGTCTAAAAACATTTTAACTTGTAAAATATTTTACAGAAAATGATCTGCTGGAAAAATATATTCTTCTTTGGATCAAACTGTATTGGAATAAAAATAGATTATAAATTCCATTCTAACATGTAAATGAATATAAAGATATGGTTAAAATACTTCAGAATCTAATAAATCTCTTTTTTACTCTGATATAAATAGTTTTGAGATAATTTCCCTATTAGAATTTGTTAATTTGTTGGAGAAATTTTGAAAAAAGTAACCCAAGAATTAAATGCTTTAATATTTTGATAATTTACAAAATTTGCCAATCGTATACAAATTGGTAGTTCCCGTAAATGTTGCTTTCCTGGCAAAATTCTACCCCAAGCAAGGCACCTGTAACTATTGACATAAAAATTACCATTTTATGTTAGTCTCATATTCAATAAATTCTTTATTTTTTTCCACACTGACTGAGTGTGTATATATTTTTTGTTGTATTGGTAGTAAACACACAAAAATCTCTTATAATATTTATGATACCCACTTTCCATTGATATTTTCAATAAAGCACCAAAATGAAACATCTTCATTATCAGGTTCAGAGAGTGTGTCAGATCAAATGGGATACTGAGAATAGATTGCACATGTATAGGACCCAAATTAAAAAATGTTGATTTAAAATTATCTACCTGTAAATGATGATAGTGATACTACAACATAGTGGATATGATAGTATGTTTAGGCCCGGATTAATGGGGGGGCTGACTGGTCTGCAACCAGCCCCACCCCCCAATATTAAAAGGGCCCGAAAAACATTTGGTAAACCTATCTATCATAGTGACCTACAAATTACTTTTGTGTGATTGTGGTGGGAAATGATCAGAATATTATGCCCCCTTTTCACTGTCAATACAAGGTCCAAATGACATTTTCAGACAGGGGCCCCCATGCAGGCTTAATCCCGCCCTGTTAATGTGACTATGGTGATTTTTATGTTGTTGTTGCATAGTGATATTAATATTGCAGAAATTGCTACTATGAGGTATGTGTTGGCAACCATGTATTGCTGTATATATAAGAATGTTATTACATTAGTATTTGTATGAAGATATTACCATGGTGATGATTATTTTGTATATTGTAATATAGATATATAGATAATATATTCAATGATTATTACACATTTTGTATAGTTTTTATTTAAAAATTATATAATGATAAAACTGAACAAGCATTTTCCATCCAAGATACACCCACAGTTTAGAATAGATGAACATCGAACAAGGAAAATCAATAGGGTTCATCGACCCATTGTCTCAATGCTTCACATCGAATACAAAAAACCTGTTAAAAGCTGATTCAAGAATTACGTTCTAATTTAGTATGTCATACACATGCTGACAAAAGCTCATTTTTTAAAATTGTGTCCTTATTGGTCATGGCTATTGATGTTTAATTTATACACAGTGTTTATGGTCAAGTGAAGCAGAAGCCTTTTGATTTTCTGGGATTTCCGATAATTGCTGCCAGAGTTACAGTCCTTGAAAAATCTTTTGGACACTTTGGAGACTAAATCTTTACTATTTGTGATAATAACTTAATGGGTTGTTAATCTTGGTGAGTTTGGGGTGTCATTACCTACAAAACATTAAATATTCGACAACCCTTGTGGACTTGCTTAGATGACTTAGCTGCTGTGGTCATATGTTTAGTTGCCTGGCAATCTATCCTTATTGTAGTGAAGGTAAATTAAACAACATTAAAGAAATTACAAATAAAAAAGCCTATGTATCTGCCCCTGTACACAAAAAAAGTACTAATTTTGGTAATTTTCTTTAATGAAAACCAGATGCCGGCAATAATGTTATTGATGATATGGATACTCCTCCTACATTATGTCTCTATGTCCACAAAGCTTAGACCTGCAACGATACATTTGCATGCACTCAAAGCAAATGCATTTTTACGGGTCCACAACCAGCAAATTTCTCTTCATAAATGAAAATTCTTAAATTGAGGGATGGAAATATGTCATGTGATTCTGAAAACAAAAGACCCATACTATGTGACTGCCCATTGATCAACTCGCTCTTGACAGCATATATTGATCTATTAAAAAATATGAATAAAACTTATCTGAATAATGATCAAAATTGGTTAAGAAAAACGCCTCATGCTCTTATCTCAGGTACAGGTAAATACTTTAAATCTGGCTTCGAAGTAGACCCAGATGGTTGACCGAATCCTGAGAATATTATTTAAAACATCACCCTGCCTCCTCCTTACTCGCTTTAGTACGCTTTTCTATGATTTCTTAAGGGACAATATTGGTGTCAGTCATTATCACATATGTGATAGAGCTGGTTAAACACATTCCAAATATAATTTTAACACAAAGATCATTGCTACGATAGCCGAGTAAAACAGGTTTCCTGAATTGGAAGTGACGAATCCCAAAGGAAAACACGAGTCATCCATCTGTGTATGATGGCCGATATTTGTGGGTGATTGTGACCAGTGCAGCTCCTTTAAAACAGGTCATGTATATTTTAAGTTGGACTTTTTTATCACCATCTGGGAGCTGCAGTGGCTCAGTGACTCTGGATTTTCCAGCATGGTTTGCCATTGTCAGTTGTGCAGAATAGTGGGCCTGACAAAGACAGTGTCTAGTCGCTCGGAGGGGATAAAAACCAGAGGTCCTGTGTATGTGTTGGTGTGCTTGTAAAAGAACCATTACTAGTTAGAATTTGTAATAAGAGTAGGCCTTGGTGCCACTGTCCATATTTATGGCGTATACCTGTCTTCATTAGCCCAGATGGTGCATAAAAAAGTAGGATGTTAAACCCCATTTCATTTAATTCATTTATCCCCATCTCAGTTTATAAACCAATTTTCAACCTTTGCACAAAAAAAAAAGTTCTATTTTTGTTTTATTTTGTTTATATTTGCCAACAATTATAGTAGAAACCATAAAAATGCATTTTTATCCATTTGATGGTAAAATTAACATTTATTAGTTTTTCATATAGAACCTTCAACTTTTAATTTTCCACTCTAATTAAAATTAGCCTAATTCAAAAATTTGATCTGTTTTTACTGATATTACACTACATCATAATCTTACTAACTTTCTATCAAAGGGATGTAATCTCTACATAAATAATTGTTGTTATATACTAAAGAACAAAAATCGATTTGTTTACATGGAGGCCATTATTTTTGCCTACTTTGGGTTTCAAATCCCACCTAGCCACATGGCAAGAATATCTCTACATATAATTTGATTTGTCAATTTGTACGCATGATCTGAATATGAAAATGTAGGCGCATAAAAAGTAGCATGGTCAATATCAATCCTTAAAAACTAAATGATCATTTTCACTAACACCATATTTAACTTTATATTTTTCAAATAGTTCAGTAAGAGCTTTTAAATATCTGTCATGAAGATCATCAACTTCTTCCATTGTTGGTTTCTCATTCTTCTCTATATTAATAGGTGCACCAACTAAAATGAAAAAAAAAAGATACGCCCTTTGCAGCTAAATCATCCAAGCAGTCAACAAGGGTTGTCACATATTTAATCTTTTCAAGGTAATGGGGGGGGGGGGGGCATTTACAAGACAATTTTATACAAATCAAATTGTAATTTTTGTCCTTCGAGGGTTCACAAGGTGCTACGAACTGAAACAAAGGCCTTAACTCTGGAAGTAATATACAAAAATTGTTGAAATTCAACAGCCTTTTTATACGCCCACATTTTCATGTGGATGTATCTTGTCGTCGCCACTGTCCGTCCGTCCACAATTTGTTTGTGGACACTCGACAGGTCACAATTCTTATCCGATTTTGACGAAACTTGAAATATAGGTTTATCTCCAAAAGATCTCGGTTGCTTTCAATATTGGCATGTATCGGATCAAAACTTCATGGATTATGGCCCCTGTCTGTACGAAAAATCATGTTTTTAGCTTGTGGACCCTATAGAGGTCACAATTTTTATCCGATTTTGTTAAAACTTGAAATGTAAGTTTATAACCCAAAGATCTCGGTTCCTTTCGATATTCGCGCATATCGGACCATAACTTCCCGAATTATGGCCCCTGATTGTACGAAAAATCGCGTTTTTAGCTTGTGGACCCTATAGAGGTCATAATTTTTATCGGATTTAAAAAAAAGTATTATTATGTCACTGTTACACCCTAAGGACGGCTGAGTTCGAATTTTGTGAAAATCTGCCCCAAACTGACAGACAAAATGGCCGCCGTTCGTTCTCAAATAGCGTAAAAATATGGTATATCAAGGTTGTAGACCCTATGGAGGTCACAATTTTTATCCGATTTTGTTGAAACTTGAAATGTAAGTTTATAACCCAAAGATCTCGGTTCCTTTCGATATTCGCGCATATCGGACTGTACCTTCCTGAATTATGGCCCTTAATTGTAGGAAAAATCACTTTCTTTTTAGCTTGTTCTCTATCCATCTCTCGAAAATGTGGGCGTATCCTGCCTGGCAGTCGCTGGTTCAGTTTAATAACTGCAGCCTAATTTGCATTAACAAGGTTTTCAGAAAAAAGGGAATAACTCTGGAAATGAATGCCGAATATTGATTGGGTTTAGCCTCTCGTGACGACAATGCTACAAACCAAATTTGAAAAAGGTTTGTCAAAAACAGTAGAATATATTGCATTCACAAGCCAATTGTTGGCGTACCAACGGATGTACCCAAACTATGTGTGGGCATATAAAAATAGTTTCTTTGTCTTTGTTGTTTTTTTTTTTTATAGATATTGGTTTTTATCTCCCTTTGGGAGATAGACCTATATTTCAAGTTTCGTCAAAATCAGACAAAAATTGTGTCCACAAACGAATTGTGGATGGATGGACAGAGGCGACGGCATAATGCGTCCACATGGAAATGTGGTTGTATATCGTTGTCACCTCTGTCCGTTCGCAATTAATTGTGAACACTCTACAGACTACATTTATTATTCAATCTTTATTAGTTTTTATACTACTATATAGAATAACTAGAGCATCGCTAACGCTGCAATATAAGTCCACATTCCTGCCTTCATTGATATGGTACTTTTTAAAATGAAGAGAATGAAATATCAGATAGCTGCAATGACCGTAATATGACAAAGAGGCTAAGAAGGCTAGGCGCTGGGTTTGTTTTGCCAAATTTAGAGACTAAATATTAACAAAAAAGTGGGTGTGAAACCGCCCCAGGTGGTCGGGGCATGCACCAAAATAAATGGTTGCTGTCTTTACGGTACATGTATAAGAAATAAATATGCCAAGTTCCAAGATGATCCATTCAGAATTGCAGCCTGTAGATAAATACAAAAATTGGATGTGGCTCTGCCCCTGGTGTTTGACCCTTGTTTCACTTTGTAGAACCTTGTCAATGCCCTAGAGACAAAATTTGACATCAGATCAGTATTAAATTCAAATACATTATTTAAATTGGTAAAACAAAGAATTTCAACAATTTCCAATAATTAGTTCTAGAGGTTATGGTCCTTGTTACACTTTGTAGAACATTAAGAATGCTTAAACGACACAAGTTATTATCCATTCTTTATTAAATTGCAATGCATTTTTTAAATTAGTTAACTTTTGGGGTATTATTAATCTTGTTATACTCGAAAAGTTCTGTCCAAACTGTATAAAATTGATTTCAAGTATCTTGTAAATGTACCCATTACCTACAAAAGAATGAATATGTGACAACCCTTGTCGATTGCTCAGATGATTTAGCTGCTGTGGGCATATGTTTCGTTGCCTGGCAAGCTATTTTTATTCTAAAATTAAGGGTCAGTATCAATTAACAATTTCTTGTTATCAAATTATTTCCTTATCGATTATTATAGTCTACATTTTAAACCTTTCATGTTACAGCAGGGTTGGTCTTGCCATTGGCGAAATGGCCTTAACATAGTTTTTGAATTATCTGTACCCTATAGACATAGTCCTTACAAGAGATATTGTTGAAATGCTGCTTGACCTGGGTTTATTTGTTTGGCACGTCCTGATTTTAACCACTCACCAGCCATACTTTCACTCTTCAAAATTCAGTTCTATGCAAAACCAGAAAACTCACCAACACTATTAACAGGATGTCTGTATGGTATCAGTCCAAAATTATAATTAAAGATACCCCGCCCATGAAATATAGGGGGAGAGAACCCCAACCGCTTTGTACAGAAATCCTGAAATTTTCGTAACCTGGAACCATCAGGATTTGTCACCTGAACAAACAGGTTGTTTTCTCCAAAACTATATACTGGTACAAGACTAGCACTGAAAAAATAAGACATTATTTAAAATTTATAGCACTGTAATCTATTAGGAAGTGTAGCGGAACATGGATTCTGAATTTTCTTTTCAATTCTGTACAATCTGAGGAGCATTCAGATGCAACCTAACGAGACGAGAGTAGACATTGTCTTGATGACCAATACTCACATCAACTTTAAGAATAACTTGAGATGCTTCCACTCCTGAAGGGTCTACCTTTAATTAAAGACTGATCTTTCGGTTGTTCATGAATATGAATAGTACAATTACAATATATTGAATAAATCTGTTTAAACTACATATATTATTATTCGCTTTGTTTTTATTATACAACCAGTAAAACAAAATTTTAAACAATAAATAATGAAAAGAAACAGAATCTGTGTTTTAATCAGATTGTTGTTGAATCAACCTATTTCTATTTACTTTACTGCAAGCACATTAATTGACATCAATACATGTTGATTTTGTTTTTTTAGTAAATTTTCCGTAATTTTGAAATATTTTCTGTATAAAAGGACTCATATTGCACTGAAAACTCTTGTCATGAAACATCTCAACATAATATTCAAGACTATTCAAGTTCTACTGGTAACAGAAAATACACACATTCATGTAATATACTATTCAAAAAAAGTAGGGGATATTTGATTTTTAAGTGTTATTAAAGTCACCTAATGAAACTGACGAAGAAACAAATGACAAAATGAAATGAAGTTCACATTCATCGATTTATTCCAAATGATCGTTAGACTAAGTAAGGCACAGACTGACCATTATAAGGGTAAAATGATACCCGGGGTCAAACAGCAAAGTTACCACAGCATCACAACCAAGTCAGTAACGGGTAAATCCTCCTCTGTTTGCCAAACAAGCATTGATCCGACGTGGCATACTCCTAATGAGACGTCTAAGGTCATTTTGGTCCAGATTGTCCCATTCCTGTTGCAACGCAGCAGCAAGTTCTTGGACATTGGCAGGACGTTGTTGACGTTGACGTAACCTCTGTCCAAGCATGTCCCAGACATGCTCGATGGGGGAGAGGTCGGGACTCAGTGCTGGCCAAGGTAATGTGGTGATGTTCTGTTGTTGGAGGTAACCTGTAACGATCCTGGCCCTGTGACATCTTGCGTTGTCATCCTGGAAGATGAAACGGCGGCCATGACGTCGTGCGAACGGCACAACATGGACTGCCAAGATGTTGTCCCGGTAGTACTGGCCTGTAACACGCCCTGCAACAACATGTAAAGCCGTTCTTCCAGCAACAGTGATGCCTCCCCACACCATAACAGAACCACCCCCAAATCGATCATGTCTGATGACGTTAACGTCTTGGAAGCGCTCGTTTCGACGACGCCACACCCTCCTACGTCTGTCCAAAAAATCAACAGTGAACCTTGACTCATCTGAAAACATCACATTGCTCCAGCGTCGATTATCCCAGTGTTGACGATCCCTACACCAACGACGTCTTGCCTGAATGTGATGATCTCTCAAACAAGGGATCACGTGAGGACGTCGGGCGCGAAGGTGACCCCTATGCAGTCGATTCCGAATCGTCTGGCCACTCACTCTCACACCAGTGTCTGTTTGAAGACGAGCGCTGATCTGATTTGCTGTGATGACACGATTTCTCAAGGCCAAGGTACGGATAAATCGATCCTGGGCTTGAGTTGTCGCCCTTGGTCGACCTGAGCGTGGTCTGTCCTGTACAGATTGTGTATCACGGTATCTGGACCATAGCCTGCTTATGACAGACTGAGAAACATTCATCGTCCGCGCCACAACCGCCTGTGTTGTGCCGATCTGTAGCATGCCAAGGGCACGTAACCTTTCATTTTGGGTAAGCCGACGCATATCAAAATTTGTTTTCTGGTCACTAAAACAATTAAACTGATGTTTCCACCCTGGAATTCAATGCCACAATGACTGTAACATTCAAAGTCAGAGTCGTGCAAATCTTGGGTTGGACCCCCATGATGATCCCAAGCATCACCTGCATTCCATGCGGTAGCTATTGGTGCGTTTGGGCGTCACATGTAACTGGAAATGTTTCTTCTGTTAGGTTCTATAGTGACTTTTTTCGTAGTCATTTGCATATTTTAGTATTATGCCCCCAAAATCAAATATCCCCTACTTTTTTTGAATAGTATACATACAAATTATATCGTCACAATAACACCAGTACCCAGCACTAATCATATTTACATTTTTATTTTAGGGTGACACTATATCCATCCAGAAACCTAAATAAGTACATAACCTCTTTGATAATGGTTTAAAATGGAAGTGTCTGTGAAGATCTTACACTTACCCATATTTCAAAGCAAGTCGACAGAAACCCTTTCGTTTTGTGGCTCGCACAGTGAAATTTCCTGGATTAGCATCCAATGCTTCACTTGCTCCACCTAAAATAACACACACAGCATTTCCTCCCGTTTCTTTAGAGAGTAAATAACTTATACTCTCCTTTGATACTTCCACAGCCCCTACATATGTAAAATAAAACAAATTGTTAAATAGTGAAATTCTTACAACATACAGGAGAACAAATGCTACAGAACAAAATATGTGATTTAATGTGGAATGGAATAGGGTTTAACATTTAAACTATGTCATTGTGAGATTAACAAATGCTGAATATTTATTTCAATAATTTGCTTGCCCACTGGGGTCTTTCTCAGTGTGAGAAAACAGAAGAATCTGGAGAAACCCTACAAGGCAACTCTTTGTCATATGCAATCCTGGGATCGATATCACAAGACTGGAGACTCAATGACCAACCTTAAATATGATCTAAAGCATAAGCATTAGATGGCTGCCACCAAACCTTGCTCTGAAACATTGGAATTTAGGCCCATCAATACTCACTCACCTGTTAGCATGAAACAATCTCGAAAAACGGGAAACATGAATTGTCCACTTAAAACTGTTAAATATGACGTCAAGCCTGGAAACAGCTCACTGAAACCGGATCCTTCTGTACAGAAATTTCCAAAATGGCTATAACACAATATTCCATGTGGATGACAACCAAATATGTAGTTCTTTTTCGGATCTAGGTCCACAGTTTTTATTAATTTTAATGGGAAAAAGTTAGCGTAATACTTCCATAGTTTCCACTGTCTGAAGCATTGAAGTCTTCGACCTCCTCTTGCTGGTGTTTCACGATCGTATAAATAATAAGCAAAATATGCTAAGGGGAGATAATAATATTGGGTAAATAATAGCACATATAGACTGAAGAAAAAGCAACCAAAACCGAAAAACAAGAAACAACAAGTAAAAAAGAAAACAGAGAAGGTCTCTAAACGTCTAGACAACGGAATATTTAATGGAGCAAAATCAAAGCCAAGAATTTTCATTTTCTGAAACAAAAAATCAAAATACAATTGTTAACTATGAAATGAAATTAACTAGGGTTTAATGTCCTATTTTTCTGCACCAACTGTAGGCCAAACAAATTATCAGATACCCACATCAAACATCATTAAAGATAGCTACGCAGAACGTGAAAATACACCCACACAGCAGCTTTGTCTAAAAAAAACACATAGGCATAGACAATATGAAAGGAAAACTTGATGTCAAATTTGGAAAGGATAAACTTCGACAAAAGCCGTACAGTGTTTATGAGGAAAATCTTGATGAACTTTCCCAGCCAACACTAGGATCAACCAGCGGCTGCCAGGCAGGATATGCCCACATTTTGCAAGAGATGGATAGAGAACAAGTTGAAAAGAAACATGATTTTTTTGTACAATCAGGGGCAATAATCCAGAAATTTATGGCCTGAAATGTGCAAATATCAAACGGGACAGAGATCTTTGGGATATAAAGATGTGTTTTAAGTTTCATCAAAATGGGATAAAGATTGTGACCTCTAGAGGGTCCACAACCTTCGTATTACACACTTCTACACAAAGAGCGGCCATTTTGTCGGGCAGTTTCATTTCGATTTTCCCGAAATACAAATTCAACCTTCATTACGGTGGAATGGTGATATATTTAAACGTTTTTTAAAATCGAAAAAAAAATTGTGACCTCTAGAGAATCCGCAAGCTAAAAATGCAATTTTTCGAATAATCAGGGGCAATTATCCAGGAAGTTAAGTTAAGGAACCAAGATCTTAGTGTGTAATGGTGATATATTCACAGGTTTTTTTTTTTTAAATCGGATAAAAATTGTGACCTCTACAGGGACCACAAGCTAAAGACTTGATCTTTTGTTCAATCAAGGGCCATAATTCAGGAAGTTATGGTCCGATATGCGCAAATATCAAAAGGAACTGAGATCTTTGGGTTATAAACATACATTTCAAGTTTAAAACAAATCGGATAAAAATTGTGACCTCTACAGTGTTCACAAGCTAAAAACATGATTTTCGTACAATCAAGGACCATAATCCATGAAGTTACAGTCCGATACATGCCAATATCGACAGGAACCAAGATCTTAGGTTGATAAACCTATATTTCAAGTTTCATTGAAATCGGATAAAAATTGTGACCTGTAGAGTGTTCACAAGCAATTGTGGACGGACGGACAGGGGCGACGACAATATACGTCCACATAAAAATGATTTTCGTACAATCAAGGACCATAATCCATGAAGTTACAGTCCGATACATGCCAATGTCGACAGGAACCAAGATCTTAGGTTGATAAACCTATATTTCAAGTTTCATTGAAATCGGATAAAAATTGTGACCTGTAGAGTGTTCACAAGCAATTGTGGACGGACGGACAGGGGCGACGACAATATACGTCCACATAAAAATGTGGGCGTATAAAATGGGGACCTCCAGGTTAGCAAGCCATTGCCAACGTCTTACTCACTGAGCCACTGCGGCTCCCATCCATTAAAAACTATAGCCTTTAACGCGTTCACAGGGTTTTTCGGGATAAGGGCATAAATCTTAAACGGAAAGTCGCGAAACGCTGAATATCTGTAGGATTCATTCTCTTATGACCCCAATACTTCACACCCAAATTTTACAATATTGGTTAAAAACTATTGCCTCTTTTGTCAGGGGCATCCATATTGATTTTGTTTAGTGATGGGGGGAGCAAAAATGAGACCCCTAATAAGAGTAACACAGCCACGAGCCGAGCACCGCAGGAGAGAGCTTTATAAGGGGGTGGGGGGTCTGGCTCATGCTCCCTCAGAGAAATTTTTTAATTTTGAGTCTGAATGATGCCATTTCCTGAACTTTTGGGAAAGATTTGGCAGAATTCTGATGAATAAAATTGAGTACTATGCATGGGAATTTGAAAAATATTCCTTAAAAACTATATACAGAATAAAAAGTCACGGTACACTAAATATCAATAGGGTTTGACCTCTCATGACCACAATGCTTCACACCAAATGTGTCTAAAACTGTAGCCTCTATCGCATGCACAAGGTTTTCAACAAAGGGGGCATAACTATGGGTCAATTGCCACTACACAGGCCATGTTTTTTTTTATTGGATTTCCATTGGGTTTTTTCCATAAGGGGTGGGTGTGGGGTAGCATGGAGGTTAGTTCTAGAGCATGCTTTAATGCATCCTCCAGATATATAACCCTAAACTGGCTTTTCATACAAGTCTAATCTGATAGTGCATGTTCATGTAAAATAAATAAGGATTTATCAATATGATGATGCACATGATGATGTGACACAATCACAATGTCATTTTTAAAGCAGGCTATTTGTGAACAAATCTAAAATTAGGTTATAAATTGATCAAGTTATTTTATCTGGAAACTTTCAGTTTTAAAAGAAAATACCTACTGCATAAGTATAAGTGCAAATCAGCCAATATGTCAACTTGCAAACTTTGTACCATTGAAAAGATTTCTTTCATCAATGTCAAGGTCCATTCTATATCGCGACCTTTAGGCTACCTAACCACCAAATCTTTTGGTTGATAGCTATCAGTACAGTATTAACCCTTTCAGGATCGATGGGACTATCATGTCCCATCATATTCAGGGGCCGCGGAACAGGGGGGCTGCGGGGGCTTCACCCCCCCCCCCACACACACACACACTTTTTTTTGCAAAAAAAAAAAAAAAAAAAAATTCGTTATTTCGTCCCATTCTACATTTATAATAATTATAACTGGCATTGCTCTCGTCATGGATAACATGAGTGGTGAGTCATGGTCAGCTTTTCTTTCGTGATAGCAGGAGGGTTTTGGGTTACTTAAAAATGCAAAAAATCACATCAAAGTTTCAAAATATTCTTGGGGCCCTTAAGCGGGCCCCAAATCCCACGCCGGAAGCTTCCGGCGCCTGCGACGCCTCCAGCAATACGCTCTCGCGTCGCTACGCGACGCTTCGTTTTCGGGACTTCGTCCCTCAATTATTATTGTCAGACCCCCCACTTCGGAAATCGCTCCGCGGCCTCTGCATAATGTGTAACATAGATTAAATTATCATTTGTCTTGTTTGTAAATATATATATTATTTGTCATATTGCAATATCTTTATGTACATGTTCATATTGTATGCTGTTTTGATACAATAAAATCTTATCTTATCTTATAGTGAATATTGCAATGCATAGGGCCTACTATGTACATTGTGGTCAGTATTACCGTACATGACAGTATTAGGTCGGTCTAAGGTCGGGTTGAAGAAGTGCAGTCTTATTGCAAAGAAATGTGTAGTGTCATTTCATTGTCAAGTACAATATCACCGGTATTGTTTTTGTAAGAAAATCCTTGTACATGTTTGAAGACACGGGGAAAGTTCAAAGTATGTTAAATGATTGTGAATTTTTTTCATGAAACTTTATCCTATTCTAAACCCTTTTATAGAATTTTTATAAAAACTGGGTAACATTTGCAATATTCTTTTCGGTGGGACTTACTTGTCCCGTCTGGCAGATACAACACCATTTTGGGACCTGGTACCAATGCGTTTTTTCCAAATTTATGTGGTTTTCCTTTGCGATTTTGTTGTTTTTTTCTAAATTTATCCTTTGTATAGATGACACAGAGGGGTTTTAATTTACAACAGGTCTGTGAAATGATGTTTTCAGAAAATCGTGGTCGATGCGAGGTTTTTCTAACTCTAAGACAAACGTTGAATCTCGCCCTCACAGTAAATTTTAGATAACAAACCTTATCTCTCAACCCTTCGTGTTTCGAGATAAGAGATGGTGCTATATAGTTCCACGTAGCAAATCCCAATGCAAATCACATCGTCGGGACTCAGTAAGCAAAATTGACAATATTTTTCATCAAAACGACAATTGGTTAATGTTATTTATAATATTTCTTTCACATCCAACTACAATTAAGCATATAATCCTACCTGAAACGGGTATAAATCATCGTATTTAAAATCGAGGCGTTAAGCCGTTACTAAGAACGCCATTTTTAAATGGGAGCTGGATGACGGTGTATGTCGGATAAAAACAACGCTTCATCAATTTAAACACGAATATTTGGAGTTAGGCGATAGTTGTGCCACTACATTGGCCTCTGCAAGTGTAATTAGTCATAATAGTATAAAAAATATCTTATTTTCAAGATGTTACATGCATTAATAAAGAAACTGAGTTTGCCACTTGGAACTAAAGGCACCCACCCAATCGTAGTTAAAATCAAGCACATCAGTAGCTAAGTAAATCTGTGACATGCATTGTATTCTTATTCTGTAATAAATAAAAAAAAAATGTTTTTCAAGTTAACATTGTTTACGCCTTTTGTTGAATGAATTTAACTATGGATTATTGTTTCAACAGTTTTCTTTGTTTCAACTGTCTTTTTAGTGTCGCTGATTAAAGTTGCGATAAAAATACAGATTTCAAGAATTACTTAAACTTTTTTGTCCTTTTCGTATTGAAAATAATTTACCTCTTTACAGCACGTCGGGACGTTCCAGTCCCACCCCAACCCCCTTCAGCAAAATTTGTAAAACTTAAAAATAATTTTGTGGGCACCCTTACCAAACCCAAATCATCTATAATTATAACGTATCATAAATCAAGAAATTTAACCAGATTTCAAGAATAACTAACTTCTTTGTCTTTTTCGTATTGAAAATAGTTTTCCTCTTTACAGCTTGTCGGGACTTTCCAGTCCCACCCCACCCCCTTCAGAACAATTTGTAAAACTTAAAAATAATTTTGTGGACACCCTTACCAAACCCAAATCATCTATAATAATAATAGATCATAAATCAAGAAATTTAACCACATGAGCTTGAAAGGGTTAAAGTAGTCAGACCTGGGTCCGGTTGTTCAAAGCTCAGTTAACTTATAAAGATTTATTAACATGGAGTTAACGGATCATTATCTTTAACGTCGAGAAAGTCGGTTGCTTGAGGCCCGTTAACTTTGAGAACGTGTCGTTAACTTGCCGTTATTTACATTTAACGAAGGTGTTGGGCTCCGTTATCGGTTTAACGATGGCATTAGTCGGCTGCCAGTCGAAGTATATAGCCTTAGCAAAATTCCTATAGATTACCAGTGTCGTTTTCTATAGAACATCCTAGACACAGAGAGGGGGGGGGGGGGGCTATCAAAATCATTTCCTGTAGGACGAAATTCATTAATAAGATAAGATAAGACAATATTTTATTGTATCATTTCATCCAGCAAGGACAGCATACACAGTTTAAACAAAATGCTAAAGACCCCTACGCGCAAGCGAATTATGGAAATAAAATTGAACCATATATTAGTCCCGAAATTACCTAGTTTGTATCGAGTGGCCGTTAAACCCCATTTCTCCCGATGGCTTAAAAATTCCCCCCCCCCCCAAAAAAAAAAATAAATAAATAAATAATAGTAATAATTTTCCAGCGTTGTTTCCCCTTGTCGGTGTTGCAGGAGTGTCGTGTGCTCGTTGCTATGCAAGTAAAAGAACACTTGACAGCTCGAATTCGAAATAAAGAGTATAGACCGTATAACGTCGCTGTTTGGGCCAAATTCCCATAATATAGCATAATATGTACATCTTCATTATCCCGGTTGATACTGAACAGTAATACATTAAACTCCATTTGATATTTTTTTTCTCTTCATACAATTGTCACTCCCTTACAGTATTTTTCAGTTTTTTCCATATATCTTATCTATTTTAGTGAGAAAATTACATTATAGATGTTTTGTTTCAATTCAAATATTTGTTAGGAATTTAACCTCAAATCTTATCTGAACTAAAGGTTTACAGATATACTAGTAGAAATACTGTTTTGAGACAACTTATATACTATAGCTCCTTGTCTGTTGTTCAATCCGATTAAATTTGTTGAATCAAATACTGTTTAAACTATTGTTTTTCATCCAATCCGAACGAATGGGTTATACTACCCTTTCCAGTCCCCCCCCCCCCGGTCATGTACCACTAACAAGGGGAAACCGCACCGGAGTTGTCATGTACATATCTGTGTAAGTGTAGTCAATGTGAAAATGAAGCAAAAAGACTGTTAAAGAGACCGAATTTGATGTTCATACACAGCGATGATGATGATGACTAACTTTGATGACATGTAACTGTGTAATTTTGATTTTCAATAATTGTTTGGTTTACTTCAATAAACTTTTGGCTAGTACTTTCATCGTTATCAAACGAGTCTTCAGACCATTTTAATTCGTTACTATATGGAAGCCTATAACTACCATTCATAATTTCTACTTTTCGCCACTTCACAACGCGAAAGTCGAAAAGTCGAAAAGTATAAGTTACGACAAAATGTGAGGCGACAACACGATATACAAGCCAAAATCAACTCGAAAATAGGAAATTAAGAAATAACACACAACGATAATAGCGCCCCTCTACTTTTCGAGTTGCATTTTGGCTTGTAGACCGTCTTGTCGACTTTCGACTTAGTCATATTTTTGTATTTATTGATGTCAGTAAGAAGGCGCCAACACGCTATACAAGCCAAAATGCAACTCGAAAAGTAGAAATTAAGAAATTAACACACCACGCTATTAGCGACTTTTCGCCCCTCGTTTTTTCCTAATTGGGGATCACGTGGCTAAGTGGGTAAGACGCTAGTTCGCTAGCCTGGAGGTCGGGTGTTCGATCCCTGCATTGGCCGAGAAAGTTCATCCAGATTTTCCGGCGTGGTTCTCCCTTGTCAGTGATGCAGGACGGAGGGGCTGACAAGGACAGCTGTCTAGTCGTTCGGATGGGACGAAAAACCGAGGCCCCGTGTACACATTGGCGTGCACGTAAAAGATCCCTTGGCAGTTGGAATTCGATATAAGAGTAGGCCGTAGTGCCGGGCAAAATTCCCTCATAGCACACTGTATGGCGTATGCCCGTCTTCATTAGCCCAGGTTAGGAGCAGAACAGTAGGACGTTAAACCCCATTTCATTTCATTGTTTTTTCCTAATTTCTACTTTTCGACTTGCATTTTGGCTTGTATACCGTCTTGTCGACTTTCGACTTAGTCATATTTTTGTATTTATTGATGTCAGTAAGAAGGCGCCAACACGCTATACAAGCCAAAATGCAACTCGAAAAGTAGAAATTAGGAAATTAACACACCACGCTATTAGCGACTTTCATAGCACACTGTATGGCGTATGCCCGTCTTCATTAGCCCAGGTTAGGAGCAGAACAGTAGGACGTTAAACTCCATTTCATTTCATTTCATTTTTATTAGCGACTTTTCGCCTCGGAAGTTGTTGTAGTCTCAGTTTTCCAGGTCGCATTTGAATACGTGCAATCAGGGCTCACACTGTATTTCATTCTTTTCCGTCAAAATGGATAATAATTTTTATATAATAAAATGTTCATATTTTTTTTCCGCCAACTGGGATATTTTATCTGCCAAATATGTCTGATAAAAAAACCACACCTTAGGCTACAACAATTTAATTTATTATATAGGCCTATTATAAAACAAATTTCCCGTACTGATATATACAATATACAACAACATACATGGCGATTGGGTAGTCTAGTGGTTTAACACGTGCGCGTGAAACCACAAGGTCTGACATTGATTCAAGTGGTGTGGTTTCGATTCCCCGCTTAAACATGACAAGGGAGTAGGATAGCTTGTCCAACCTTGTGGATTTTCTCCGGATACCCCAGTTTCTATCCACTGCTAAAGACCCCTACGTGCAAACAAATTATTGAAATGATTTAGTTTGCAACGAGTGGATGTTAAGCCAGCCTGGAGGTCGGGTGTTCGATCCCTGCATTGGTCGAGAAAGTTCATCCAGATTTTCCGGCGGATTCCCCCTTGTCAGTGATGCAGGGCGTGGAGGTCGGGTGTTCGATCCCTGCATTGGCCGAGACAGTTCATTTAGAAGGTTGTGGACACACTAGAGGTCACAATCTTTATCCGATTTTATTAGAACTTAAATATAAGTTTATGTCCTAAAGTTCTAAGGCCCTGTCGATATTTACGCATTTCAGACCATAACTTTCTGGATTATGACCCCTGATTGAACGAAAAATGGCTTTTGTTTTTAACTATCCATCTCGTGTAAAAGGTGGGTGTATCTTGCCTGGCAACCGCTGTTTTTTTTTAGTTGGCTAGCTCATGCAAATAACAGAAGACAAAAACACTGTGCAACATTTAAAATTAACACTAGTGTTAGGTGTTTTTTATTTTCCACCAGTGTTAACACTGGTATTACCCTAGTTTAGACACTAGTGTAAACACTAGTGCTAAATCAAGGGGCTCAGGATAAGGCACTAAAAAGAACACCAGTTATACACCACTACAACACAACCATAACACAAGCCTAACCCGGGACTTGAATTGACCCAATATTTAAGAACGAAGTTGTGCTTAAGTTTGTTCTTTGAACACATAATAACGTGTCTGTGCTGAAGTCTACTTAAAATCTAAGCACAAGAAAGTTCTTAAGAATTTTCTGGGAACACAAAATAAGATAAGTTTACTTAAATGCAAAGTCTACTTAAAATTTTCTAGGAATTGGGCCCTGGTTAGTTTTGGTCTTTTAAGGTCTGATGATATAAAGAAATGAAATGGGGTTTAACTAGTCGGGTGGTAAAAATTGAATAGCCACCCGAGCTGTGAAACTATGAGACCAAGTTTTTCTAGACCATGTTTTTGCGTGGATTCCAAACCAGGATGGTGATCAGGCGTTTTTGAGGTAGGCGTTTTCGAGATATTGGGTGAGGGGCAATGTCCGCAAATTGAGTTCGTGCTGATCATAGGCGTAGGTGGCGGGGGAAGGGGGAGGGGGGTATGAACCGTCCATTTTCCGGGCAATGTATTTCCGTTTTTCGGGCACAAGCATCAGCGAAGAATAAAATAACAGTATATTGTGTTTAAAGAATTTCTATTCAATCGATATTTTGGAGAGGCGATGGCAATTTACTAGTTTTGATACTTTGCTTACAATGTTATCTATATCATTATTCCATTTAGAGTTATGTTAGAAGATTAGTCCGAGGTGTTTATGTTGACTTACTTATTTGATTTGTACCAGGTTCATAAATAATGGTGGTTTAACCATTTTTGATGCGATTTAAGTTCTCCTCGAACTCCTGCAGAACCCAGCTCATGCCAAAGCCTTGCTTATATCACAGAAGACTATTTCGGTATATCGATGTTGATCGATGGCTCGAAAGAAGAAGTATGTTAGGTCGATTAGTTGGAATATAGTATAATCACTAGGTTGAAAGTCACTCCGGACTGGTGTTAGTAGATGACCCTAGGAGAAAAATTGTCAGTGGGAATTTTAAGCGTGATGAAAAAATAACAGACTTTTCTTTATTACCACCTTGCCGGAGTAGTCTTTTGCTGCATATTAAACGCAGCAATTATGTTGCATGAATATGATGACAAGCTGCAAAACCAATGATCGGGTGGTAAAAATTGAATAGCCACCCGAGCTGTGAATTTATGAGACCAAGTTTTTCTAGAACAGTTTTTTTTGCGTAGATTCCGAATCTGGGTGGTGATCAGGCCTTTGAGGGGGCGTTTTCGCGATATGGGGCGTCCAATGCCTACAATTGGGGGGAAATGTCATTATGTTGACATAAATGATTATCATGTGTATATGATGCCCCTGGACAACTGTTTTGATTTGTGGGGAGGTGGGCTGGGGGAGGAGGTTAGTGTGTATGGAGGGGGTGGGGGTGTAAAATTGGCGGGAAATGAGTTCACGATGATTTAAATGATGATTTTTTTTTAGAGCTTGGTAAAAAACATTTCTTTTTAATTCCGCTGCACATCTCTAAATATGTGTGTAAGATTCCCATTGTATGGGGCGCGGGGGGGGGGGGTAAATGTTATTTTGGGGAGAGAAACCGCGTGGTTCAAAATTGACCCGAAAAGTGTTTTCTCGTTAGCTTTTTCGTTCAGTCTGATTAAAACACAGATGCTATTTCGTTTCGTTTTTTAGTTCAAAATGTCGTTTTACTTGTCTTCACAACACTAGGATCTGGAACTGGAAGAGTTGTTATATAACAGGCGGTCTAGTTGATGTGACGAATTAGCTAATGAAGCGGTCTGTTACGGCGAGTTTTTGGAACTGTCGGTAAACCCCTAGAAACGTCAACGCTGATTGATTAATCAATGTCTGACGTCACAGGGTCAAAGGCCGCTCGTATGACCCTGACGCGACCTCCCAGTACAACGGGTCAGATCTTCATGTAGTGTAGGCCATCGAAAGTATAAAACAATGAAACGAAATATACATCTGTATTTTAATCACATTGCTTTTTCGTTCAGTACCAATTTCGTCATTCCAAATATTAGATTATAATGGTACTTTGCGAGGGGGGGGTGGATGGCCGAGGGGTTAGCACGCGCGCGCTGTGTCATACGGTCTGTCATTGAGTCAACTGGTGGGGTTTCCATTCCCCGGTTGTACGTGACAAGGAGTAGGGTTGCCTGTCCAACCTCGTGGGTTCTCTCCTGGTCCTCCGGCTTCCTCCCACAGCTAAAGACCCCTACGCGCAAGCGAATTATGGAAATAAAATTGAACCATATGTTAGTCCCAAAATGACCTAGTTTGTGTCGAGTGGACGTTAAACCCCATTTCTCTCTCTCTCTCGTACTTTGCGAGATCTGGAAATGTATATAAAAAACACAGTAAATCAGAGACATGTTTAGATATTAGTCTATTCTTAGTCTTCATCAGGAGATTAAAAATCAAAGTTCATAATATGAGCGGGATAGATATCTTCTTGATGGCTAATCAACAGATCGCATAGGCTATATCCTTTGGATATGCTTCAGATACCCATTCACATTGTTCATTCCAGCCTTGTATTCAGGATCATCTTGTTCGATCATATTGTTGCAACATAATTGTTGCGTTTAATGTGCAGTAAAAGACTACCCAGGCAAGATGGTAATAAAGAAAGAAAGGTTTGTTATTTTTCATCACAATTAAAATTCCTCCAGAAAATCTTTCATCTAGTGTCATCTACTGATGTAAGTCGCCTTTCTCCGTACATGGTACAAACATTTTTTTTCTAAACCAGCAATTACGTCATCAGAAACATCTTGCCTGTCCCAGCTCTTTAAAATTTGTTAGAAAGGTGGGAAAAGAACAGTAGATAGTCATTACCACTGAAAGCATGTAGGCCAAGATATTCTCGACACTTCAATACTAATCTTGATATTTTCGTCTAAGCAAACGTTCGGAAATCGTTGAAAGAGAGCTATAAAATCGAGCAAAAAAGCCAGTTGAACATGCGACTCGAAAATTGTCAAGGCGAGCGAGGCATTATGATGGGTAAAAAGACGAATCTATTCCCTAGCCACTGCACTATTTAAAGGACAATATTGGTGCCAGTCATTATCACACATGTGATAGAACTGGTTAAACACGTTCAAAATATTATTTCATCACAGTGATCATTGCTACGATAGATGCGTAATCAATGTTTCAACAATCGGAAATGACGAACGCAAAAGGAAAACACGAGTTATCCCTTTATATAACTGACTGAAGTGACGAATGATTACAGATACATGGGCGAATTTCTGCTCACTAATAATTCCTTCGAAGACCAAATGTTGTTGTGTGAGACTGTGAAAGGATATCTGACATTGCACCAAATAGACATTGCACCAAATAAACAAATATCAAATTAAGTGAATGGATCCGGGGACCAGCCGTAAGCGTCCACTGCACTGGCTAGACATATTCCACTTAAGTCATGTCAAACGGTGACCACATATTCTTATCTGGAGAGCATGCGCAATAAATACTATCTGTGTAGATTAGACTAACCAGACGCTATAGAAATTAGCATTCGATTTAGACGTTTAACTGATTTGAAATTAGAGTAAATACGGAAACGATTGGTGTAAATCAGTTTATAATATACATTCATATTACATTATTAATTGCGACCCATTTCAGCATTTGTGTCAATTCTATAATAGGTCCCAAATATTAGCGATATAGCTCCTTTAATATTTTAATTTCTTGTGAGTGGTCTTGCAAATTCAACACCACATACAGTTTTAAAAAAGGCAGGCAGAAAGATCCCGTCAAACAATTTTTTTTTTTTTTTTTTTTTGAAAATCCCGCATTTTGATGATCTTTTGAATCTTTATCGCTGTCGAAAATAATTACCTATTCCTAAACTTTTGGCATTTCAATCAATATGCGCTATTTATGCACTTGGCCCTTCCTGTGGTTATGTAGGCGGAGAAGAAATGTCTCAATGCAAAAAAACTATGATGCCTGCAAATTAATAAATTGTTATTTTTATTGATCAATGGATTTCCAGTGCCCATTGCTTTGTTTTGCGCATTTTGAGAATTTCTCCTTTGACCTGTTAAAATGAACCACGCAGGCGCACTCATCACCCACGTGTCTGGATCAACCAATCACGTTCGACAGATGGCCGACGCCGCCAAGCTCGTTTTGTTAGGAAATGAATGAAAAATAAGTGAACTTTAAGCAAAGATATTTGGATTATCTTTAATATTTCCTAAAATACACCCCAGAAACTGAAATAATGGATCATCGCACTAAGTTTTGAAGTGGTTGAAATTGTGATTCAGCCGGACAGTTCTACATAAATTTACTGGAAAAGTGAAATGGAGCTGGAAAATTAGTCGCCATTTTGATGGTGGAATTTTAAACCTTGGAAAACCTTGCCATTCCTGCACATTGCATAATTCATGTGTAGAATAAACATTAGTCAAGAAATACATACTGAACACTCTATTTTAATTTTTAACATTAATTTATACAATGGCGAACTCTAACACAACGCTTGCCAGTCTTTGGATGGATGACGGTAATGATATTTTTTTTCGTAAAATTGAGCGTGACATGAACGGTGACTGGTAGATCTATGTTTGTGATCTCTGTTTTTCCTTCTTCGGATGAATATTACAAACGAAATCATTCATATCGAAGAAACCGGTATGGGTCAATGCATATTACGTTATGTTATTGAACTCACACTATGTAATAAGATATAAACTCGTCTGTAGCCTACACACTAACTAAGCCAAAGATTGAAAGAAAACATTGAATAACGAATAACTTACAAATACAATTCTATTTCAATTTAATTAAGTCCTATCCTACTCCTACTGGCTAGAAATGGTTCCACTACTATTAGCAGTACTAATTTCTTCCGCGTTACTCCAGCCACAGTAGTGGATCGCCCTATGGAGTTCTTTGAGCAAGTTTTTTTAGTAAAATTCAAATGACTACAAAAATGTTACTAGCACTGGTTTTAATAGCTCCCTTAATTTCTACATAAACTGACCCTAAACTGTACTGCACATAGCTTATCTGACGGCCCCATTTCACTCGCAAAGAGATACACTGTCAAAAGGGAAAATGGACGTTTTTTATTTTTGTCTTAATAATCAGTAATTGCTCCACCAATCCTGAGACATTCAGCAATTCGTTGTGGCATGCATCTAATCAACCGTCCAATCACGATTTGGGGCAATCTGACCCACTCCTCTTGCAGTGCTACGGCCAATTCTTGCAGTGTTGTCTGTTGACGTCAACGAACACTTCTCCCGATCAAATTAAACATAACACACTAAAGCAAAGATACACTAAACAATAAATCTTATGCAAGAACCGATAGGAAAGCAAACATGGATAGATAAACCAGCACGCAGCAGTTTTCATCAACCCTTCCTTGAGGTGTCAAATTTGACAATGAACTCCTCCCACGTGTATGGCGCTATTGCATGTCGCATGTGCAGCTCAGTGGTTCTGTTGGGGCGATAGGTTCTTCATCTGTGAACATTCCCTCAAAGCATGTCAAATGTCCATGACTATTTATCATATCGATACCTGCATAGGTATTTTCATTTCAATATCCCCTACTATTTTTGAAGAGTATAGTTTGAAAATAGATATATAATGTAAAATGAATAATTTGAAAATTTCATTTAAATTACTCTATTGCGAGCGAAGATATTAGTCTTTGAAGGTTTGACAAGACGTGTGCAATAATTTCAACCATCGTACTGGTTGTTCGAAGCTAAGTTTGCTCTTCCATTTTCAGCTTAAATCAAAATATGGCTGAACTGTTCTAATCTATTTAATATATCGGAGAAATCCGATGCCATCGAGAGTTGATTATGGCCTGGATCAGTTAATTAATCTAATTAATAATCTCTAACGGGTAACATTTCAGGCCTAAAGAACGACCTACCGTAGGCAGATTTAGCTCTTGCATAATGTATGTATAGCATATAATAAACCGATTCCCATTGAAATAAAGGTGAAGCCTTACTGCATAATTATATGATTTGATGAAGCCCAACTGCTACGCGAAATTTCTCTCTTATCCAACTTAAAATAGCATTCACACTCTTTCTCACTTGATCATAGTCACTCTCCATTTATGGCATTCATAGTAAAAAAGTGTAGTAACACTGCCTCATAAGGGAAGCGATAGGCGGGGTTAACGTGTGCGATATTTGGGGAGATTTCACTTGGGTGGTGTCGAAAATGTAGAATGCATTACCACAAAGAAAAACTGTTTTGTTAGGTAACTATTTTATTAGTAGTCCAGTCTTCACTATTTGTGATGAAATTACTTATTTCAATACCAACTTTAATGGTCGGTGTCGACAGTGCGTTTCACCTACCCAAGTCCGAAACATCAAGACATTTACCCACCCAATACTATGGTACCGTTGGCTCAATATTAGTCCATTTCTTTTATTGTTAAATAATGACATTAATGTGTCAATACTACCCAAAATGCGATAAAAGTGCAAAACGTTTGTAGAAATAGATTATTTATTCAATGTTTTGCCGTTCCATTTTCAGTGATATAAAATAAAAAAAATTTCAGATTACCGTAAAATTTGCACTTTTCCTAGAAATAAACTCATTGAAGTATTCTGATACTGTTGGATAATAAAATGGTAGATAAGGGCCTATGTGGTTGTATTTTGTAGTATTGGGTTAGAATTTGGAGGTATTTGACGAGTGTTTCATTTTCCTACGCTTGAGCTAGTGATTCTATAAGTAGACATTCCCGTTTACCGTACAATTTTTATACACCCATATGTTCATGTCATCCCTCTGTTTTTCAGGATGTCCATTCACATTTGGTTTGTAGCACTCAAGAGGTCACAAATTTTATATGCCCAGATTTTCATGTTGACGTATTATGTTTTGGACGGACAGTTCATGTTTGTTTGTGGACACCGGCCACAGGTCACATATTTCATTCGATTATGACAAAACGTGAAATATAGTATCCAAAGATCTTTCCTTCGATATTGGTGCATATAGAAATTTAAGAACTGTAACTTCCTATATTATTGCCCTTCATAGCACACTGTATGGAGTATGCCCGTCTTCATTAGCCTAGCCTAGTCTGAGCAGAACAGTAGGATGTTAACCCCCCTTTCATTTCATTTGCTTCTGTATGTCTGTTCACATTTGTTTGTGGACACTACAGGTCCGATTTTATTAACGAAACTTAGTCCCAAAGACCTTGATTCCTTTCGATATTGGCACTTATTGGACCTTAACTCCATGGCTTATTGCTCCTGATTGTATGAATAATAATCTTTTTGTCCCCCACCTTTCAAAGAAAGCAGGGGACTATTAAAATCTGTCTGTCTGTCCCTCCGTCACACTTTTTGGGACACAATAACTCTCTTTCTAATTGAGCTAGAATGTTCAAACTTGGTGTAGGTGTTTATTAGGTCAATGCCTTGATGAAGTTCGAAGATGAGCATTTTCTGCTTAGGGTAAGCAGAGATCGCAATTTGATTGGTTGATGCTTTGGGACACAATAACTTTAGTTCTAATTAAGTGAGAGTGATGAAACTTGGTGTATAGTTTCATTACATCAATACCTTGACTTATTTCTATAATGAGCATTTTCTGCTGAGGGTAAGCAGAGCAATAAGCAATTTGATTGGCGAGACTTTGGGACACAATAACTCTCCTTCTAATTGAGCTAGAATGTTCAAACTTGGTTAAGGTGTTTATTAGGTCAATGCCTTGATGAAGTTCGAAGATGAGCATTTTCTGCTTAGGGTAAGCAGAGATAGCAATTTGATTGGTTGATGTTTTGGGACACAATAACTTTAGTTCTAATCAAGTGAGAGTGATGAAACTTGGTGTATAGTTTCATTTCATCAATACCTTGACTTAGTTCGATAATGAGCATTTTCTGCTCAGGGTAAGCAGAGTGATAAGCAGTTTGATTGGTCGAGACTTTGGAACACAATAACTCTCATTCTAATTGAGTTAGAATGTTCACACTTGGCGTAGGTGTCTATTAGTATTAGGTGAATGCCTTGATGGAGTTCGAAGATGAGAATTTTCTGCTTAGGGTAAGCATAGATAAGCAATTTGATTGGTTGATGCTTTGGGACACGATAACTTTACTTCTAATCTAAGTTCTAATTTAGTGAGAGTGAGGACACTTGGTGTATAGCTTTATTACATCAATACCTTGACTAAGTTTGATAATGAACATTTTCTGCTGAGGGTAAGCACAGCGTTAAGCAATTTGATTGGTCGAGACTTTGGAACAAAATAACTCTCCTTCTAATTGAGGTAGAATGTTCAAAACTGGTGTAGGCCTTCATTAGGTGAATGCCTTGATGGAGTTTGATGATTAACATAAGCAATCTGATTGGTTGATTCTTTGGGACACGATAACTTTGGTAAGAATGAAGTGAGAGTGATGGCACTCTGAATATAGATTCATTATATCATTTACCTTGTCCTTGACTAAGTTCGATGGTGAGAATTTTCTGCTTAGGCCAAGGAGTGATAAGCAATTTGATTGGTCAAGACTTTTGAACATAACTCTGTTTTTAATTGAGGTAGAATATTTAAACTTGATGTAGATGTTCATTAGGTGAATGTCTTGACTGAGTTCAATGATTAATATTTTGAGCTGAAGCTAAGCAGAGCTAATCAATTTCACAGGTTGATGCTTTGGGACAAGATAATCTTGATTCTATCTGATAGAGAGTGATGAAAGTTAGTGTATAGTTTGATTGCTCGATACTTTTGAAAAAAAATAAATCTGCGATTAATTAAACATGCATTGTGCAAGAGCTAAATCGGCTTATTACAAGTCTTTCTTTAGGCCTGAAATGTTATCTAAATTGTCAATTAGACATTAATTAACTTATCCAGACCATAATAAACTCTAGATGTCAAGGCTAGCCTTCGATGTTGGCTGGATTAGATTCCTATATGCCGCTTAACGGCCATTGATAATTAAATCAAAACAGTGGATAATCGAGACTATGCTGTTTATATTAATGATTTTAGTAATGATGACCGAGACTATGCGAAAATTTCACCTGCTTCGTTCTCGGCTCATAGTGGATCAATTTGACTGAAATTTTCAGCAAATTACCTTTACACTATCTAGTTATTTTACGCCCACATTTTCATGTGGACGTATATTGTCGTCGCCCCTGTCCGTCCGCCGTCCGTCCACAATTGTTTGTGAACAGTTTACAGATCACAATTTTTATCTGATTTCAATGAAACTTGAAATATAGGTTTATCACCCTAAGATCTCTGTTCCTTTCGATATTGGCATGTATTGGACTGTAACTTCATGGATTATGGCCCCTGATTGTACGAAAAATCACGTTTTTAGCTTGTGAACACTGTAGAGGTCACAATTTTTATCCGATTTATTTTAAACTTGAAATGTATTAGTATAACCCAAAGATCTCGGTTCCTTTCGATATTCGCGCATATCTGAACTTAACTTCCTGAATTATGGCCCCTGATCGTACGAAAAATCACGTTTTTAGCTTGTGGACCCTATAGAGGTCATAATTTTTTATCCGATTTAGAAAACCGTATTATTATATCACCGTTAAACCCTAAGCACGGCTGGGTTCGAATTTTGTGATAATCGGCCCAAAACTGACAGACAAAATTGCCGCCGTTCGTTCTCAAATAGCGTAAAAATATGGTATATCAAGGTTGTGGGCCCTATATAGGTAACAATTTTTATCCGATTTTGTTGAAACTTGAAATGTAAGTTTATATCCCAAAGATCTTGGTTCCTTTCGATATTCGTGCATATCGGACCGTATTACTTTGTGAATTATGGCCACTGATTGTACGAAAAATTGCGTTTCTAGCTTGTGGACCCTATAGAGGTCATAATTTTTATCCGATTTAAAAATTTTTTATTATTGTATCACCGTTACACCCTAAGGACAACTGAGTTCGAATTTCGTGAAAATCGGCCCAAAACTGACAGACAAAATGGCCGCCCCTCGTTCTCAAATAGCGTAAAAATATGGTATATCAAGGTTGTGGACCCTATAGAGGTCACAATTTTAATCCTATTTTGATGTGATGAAACTTGAAATGTAAGTTTATAACCCAAAGATCTCGGTTCCTTTCGATATTCGCGCATATCGGAACGTAACTTCCTGAATTATGGCCCCTGATTGTACGAAAAATCGCGATTTTTGCTTGTAGACCCCATAGAGGTCATAATTTTGATCCGATTTAAAAAAAACATATTATATCACCGTTAGACTCTAAGGACGACTGAGTTCAAATTTCGTGAAAATCGGCCCAAAACTCACAGACAAAATGGTCGCCCTTCGTTCTCAAATAGCGTAAAAATATGGTATATCAAGGTTGTGGACCTTATAGAGGTCACAATTTTAATCCTATTTTGATGTGATGAAACTTGAAATGTAAGTTTATAACCCAAAGATCTCGGTTTCTTTCGATATTCGCGTAAAAATATGGTATATCAAGGTTGTGGACCTTATAGAGGTCACAATGTTTATCCGATTTTGTTGAAACTTGAAATGTAAGTTTATAACCCAAAAATCCCAGTTCCTTTCGATATTCGCGCATATCGGACCGTAACTATCTGAATTATGGCCCCTGATTGTACAAAAAATCACTTTCTTTTTAGCTTGTTCTCTATTCATCTCTCGAAAATGTGGGCGTATCCTGCTTGGCAGCCGCTGGTTAACTATTATTATAGCGAGAAGTGCCATCTCTTTATTTTATTTCCCATAATGTATCTTTAATATGTGTCATCTATTTGTTTTGGTATTTCGGCGGGGGACATCAGCCTCACTGTTGGCTTGTTTATCTTGTAGACCCTCTAGAGGTTACAATATTTATCCGATTTTTATACGCCCACATTGAAATGTGGTTGTTTGTATATTGTTGTCGCCCCTTGTCAGTGATGCAGGACAGAGGGCCTGACAAGGACAGCTGTCTAGTCGTTCGGATGTTACAAAAACACGAGGTCCCGTGTACACATTGGCGTGCACGAAAAAGATCCCTTGGCAGTTGGAATTCGATATAAGAGTAGGCCGTAGCGCCGCTCCCCAGGCAAAAATTTCCCTCATAGCACACTGTATGGTGTATGCCCGTCTTCATTAGCCCAGTTTAGAAGTAGAACGTTAAACGTTTAACAGATTTATTTAAAATCTTGTTCGAAGCATTGGGGTCTTTAAAGGACGAACGCTATTGATAATCTGCTGTCTGCAGCCTTTTGTTTCAGAGTACATGTATGCACCTCGAGTAGATAACTTTGTTAACGTGGTGATAGAGGCTACAATTTTGAACAGATCTTTTTCAAAATTTGTGTCCAGCACATTGGTGGTTTTATGATAGGACACACTCAAAGATATTCCCCTGTCCTCAACCTTCCGTTCCATAGTTTCTCCCGCTTTGTGTTAACTTTGCACTCGATGAAGCATTTTCCCAGTTCTGCATTCATATCTTACAAAATGTGGGCTTATCTTGCATTATGTGTGTACCAGTACACCACTTGTGTTGTGATTTTGCCCTGTATTTTACAAGCTGAATATAGTATATTGTGTTTAGGTCAGTCAAGTCCAGTCAAGATTGTACAGACAACGCCATCAAAGAGTAATGATCAACAGGAAAATATGAAGTATTATAGTAAAGATGCAGGACTTGAACCAGTACCTAAGATAGAGGTGAGAATGAGAAAATGACTGTTCAGTATTCAACTTGTCACACCTAGTCTTGACCAAGCCAGACTAGCCTGCTATTCCCCACCTTTGCTAACTTGCTGCGTTATTGGTTTCTCTGAACGGTGGCTCAGTGTGATAGGCCTTACCGGATCTAGGGTGGGCAAAGTGGGACAAATGTCCCTGGCCCCCAACATTTAGGGGCCTCCCACAATTCTGGGTCATACTAATATTTTATCCCGGACAGAGCCAACCAGTACCTGGGCTAAGGGGGTGAGGATTGGGGCCCTGGGCAGTAAGGGATATTGGGGGCCCCGGGACTGGTAGGTACCAACAGATTTTCAGGGGCCTAGGAAATCGCTGCCTAAATTGTCTCAGATGCACTGAAATTAATCCTAATTTTAAAAAAAAATTCCTGGAGGAAAACACCCCAGGCACTCAAGGGGGCGGAGTACATACTAGTACGATCTGCTGTCAGTACAAACAATTTGAACAAACAACAATAGGGCCCCAGCACAATTGGTATGTCCTGGGCCCCCCACAAGGTTAATCGGGCTCTGGTGATAGGTCTGGCTTGCTAACCTTAAGGTCCGTGGATTGATCTCAGTGTTGGCTAAGAAATTTCTTCTGTATTTTTCAATGTGGTTTACCCTTTGTCAGTAGTGCATAATAGAGGGCCTGGCGGGGAACATCATTCTATGGGACAAAAAAATAAGGTCCTAAAAGAACCCTTGTCAGTTGCTTTTCAAAATAAGAGTAGGCCTACTGTGTGAGCTCTTGAAAATAAAAATCTGTTAATTGTTTGTTTCTCATGACTCGCCCAAGTGTCATTTGCATCCGTATGATTATTATGTAGTGTTGGGCAATAATGAAAAAAATATTGTGATAATTTATCAAATATCACGATAAACAATATTATCTTGATAATTTATGACCTGTACCTTAAGAAGTCAAATTTTGAATGCATGTACTTGGGCTTGATGTCAAATTATTGTTGCTAACGTTGGTACATGTAGACGCGATGATGGATATTTTACCCTTGACCAGCTTGTGTAATTTTACAGATGAATTTAATTCTATCAATAGAATGTCATACAAGTTAGTCGAATTAAAATATTAATAACGATAATATGTAAACTGGCAGAGTTCTTGAATCTTAATTTTTATACGCCCTCATGGAAGTGTGTTCGTATATATTGCTGTCGGTCCCGGCCGTCCACACTTTCTTGTGAACAATCTACATACTGCTTTATTTGTTTTCAAATTGATGTTGTTTACATTACTAAGATGAATAATCCTATTTAATTTCAATAATTTCCGTTAATTTCTTCTGGAGTTATGGCCCTTGTTTCAATTTATATGCATCATTTACATTAGTAAAACGAAGAAACCTTAAATTAAATTTCATCAATTTCCGTGAATTACAGAGTTATGGCCCATGTTTCAGTTTCTTAAACCTTGTGACCATTCTAACCACAAAAGTTACCATACAAAAATTATCATTCGTATTTAATTTATGCATTCTTTAAATTAGTGAAACGAATTTCTGCAAATTTCTTTTAAAGGCCCTTGTTTCAGCTTGTAGAACCTTTTGAACCCTCAAACGACGGAAATTATAATCTGATCTGTATGAAATGGTCTTGTAAATTCCCCACCATGAGTAGACGGCAAAGAGTTATGGCCCTTTAATTAGTATAATTTTGATTGTCTTCTCTATAGGTCACAATTTTTGACGAATCTTTTTGAAACCTTAGACGCATTTGAGTTACTTTGTATGATGTTTTAATTATTGTAATTTTGCTCCAGTTCTCTTTTGATGCGGGTTACACTTGTTATACACTCACATTTTCATACACTCGCATTTTCATTGGACGTATATCGTTGTTGCACCTGTCTGTCCGCCCTGTTTGTGGGCACACTACAGGTCAAAATTTTTATCCGAATTTGATGAAAGTTGAAATATAGGTTATTCTCGAAAAGATCTCAGTTCCTTTAGATGTTGGCATGTATCAGACTTTACCTTGTGGACACTCTTAGAGAGGTCACAATTTTGATTCGGATAACCGTTATTTTGTATCCGTTAACAAATATCCAAATAGTAGTTTAAACACTACTTGTTCTCTATCCATCTCTTGCAAAATTTTGGCGTATCTTTCGTGGCAACCGCTTGTTACATTTTTGGATTCTAAATTTTGAACACATTTTGTATAGTTGTCCCCCTGTTGTCTTGAACTTAAAAACCCTAAATCAGACTATGACACAAATTATACAGTGGTTGTTTTTTTTTTTATTTTTACTAAATGGACAAGGGTCAAAATTGATTTCAGTGATATTTGATATGCATAGTCAACAAATGATTAATAATACTTGTAAAGAATTATTTTAAAGAATTGTATAAAAGAGGTATGAATGTGAAGGTCACATCCCCTTATTTTTGCCAGTAAACAAAATCATTTTGAAAAGATCAGCTTAATTCAAAAAATATATTTTGCCAGTAAACAAAATAATTGTGAAAAGATAAGCTTAATTCAAAAAAAGAAAGATTTTCTGAACTCATTTGAAAGTAAAAAAGATAATGTAAGATTATATGAAGTGTTATTTGAGTGTAGGACAAGGTAGTTGATATGTAACTTGCTGATAAAAAGGCCATGCCTCACTGATTCTGTTTGTATTAGTTGAAGTTTTGTGTGTGCGTATTCCACCTGTTGGTTATTTAAATATGAATGAACTATGGCAAGAGTGAATTAGATAAATTATCAGAGAAAAGTTTCTAAAGTAATATAAAACTATTGTGTTATGGTATTGTTGATCACTGTCTGGTTTTAAAAGCTCCTCCCCCGCTTCACACACTTTAATAATTACAATACGGGTACATGTAAATTCCCTAAAAAGGCCCGGGAGGACAAAAATTAAGTACTCTTTGCCATAACCCCTATATTCTCCTCAGAAGCCTATACCTTAAAAGATTGTTGGTGATGTTTATTACTTAAACTACTGGGTTTTATATATTAAACCTATTCTGGAACACCTTCTTACTCTATCAAAGTATATACATGTAGCACTCTATTTGATGGTCAACGCATCAGTACTGTCTTAGATGGTGAGTTTACAATTGTTCTTGCCCTTATTTTTTAGATCAAGCCAAGGTCTTTTTAAAATGTACTAGTCCAATTCATGTTGACACGTTTAAATCATTGAATATTTCCTGACCATGAAAATAAACTTTTGTGATCTTTGGGTTGTGGGAATAAAAAAATCAAGAGAAATTATAATTATGTGTTTCAAGACATGACAAATATTCTTAGTTAACTCATCAGGTCCGTTGGTGTTTATTAACAGCCTAATTAAATACCTCGCTAGTTCTGATAGTACGTATAAACGGTCTACTGTCTAATAATGGCATCCCTAGCAGTGTCTATTGACGGTCTCTATAGATAGTATAATAATTAAAAGCCGATTGGCTAACCAAAACTAATTATCCAATCAGCATATAGTTTTAGCTAATCGAACAATCACAAATGTATGTCACAACATGAACTTTGTATGAGTAAAAATCTTTCCATTGACTGCCATTTTTATACGCCCACATTTTCATGAGGACATATATTGTCGCCGCCCCTGTCGGTCCGGTTGTCCACAGGTCACAATTCTTATCCAATTTTGACAAAACTTGAAATATAAGTTTATCTCCAAAATATCTTGGTAGCTTTCGATATTGGCATGTATCGGACCGAAACTTCTTGGATTATGGCCCCCGATTGTACGAAAAATCACGTTTTTAGCTTGTGGACCCTATGTGAGGTCACAATTTTTATCCGTTTTTTTGAAACTTGAAATGTAAGTTTATAACCCAAAGATCTTGGTTCCTTTCGATATTCGCACATATTGGACCATAGCTTCCGGAATTATAGCCCCTGATTGTACGAAAAATCACGTTTTTAGCTTGTGGACCCTATAGAGGTTATGATTTTTATCCGATTTCAAAAACCGGTTGAATATATCACCTTTACACCCTAAGGATGGTTGAGTTCGAATTTCGTGAAAATCGGACCAAAACTGACAGACAAAATGGCCGCCCCTCATAATCAAATAGCGTAAAAATATGATATATCATGGTTTTGGACTCTCTAGAGGTCACAATTTTCTTCTGATTTTGATGAAACTTGAAATATATCACTGTTACACCCTAAGGATGGTCGAGTTCGAATTTCGTAAAAATAGGACCAAAACTGACAGACAAAATGTCCACCCACCCGGAGGTCGCAGTTGATCAATTTCGAGTTGCGTAAAAATACGCAGACATTACAAAATTTTGCGTTTTTGCCCTCTACATCTGCGTGAAGAGCCTCTCAAAATACCCAATATAGAAGCATGTAAAGTCGTTTTGTGAACAACCCTATTTTAAGCGTCCTTACTTTATTTTTATTGATATGCCTACTGTATTTAGTCTAATGACGACTGGAGGTTAACGGCATGTCTACGGTTGTCGGCACAGTCATTTCAATCTTCTATTCGACAGGATGTAAAGAGAAAACTATCGCTATGAAAGCCAACATTTGATTGGCTGAATGTAAACAGTATGTCTTGTTCTAACCAATCCCAAGTCTTGTATGAAATGCGCTTTATTGCTTCCAATAGGATAGCTACGTAGGCTTACTGCCATGAACTTATGAATAAAATAAGAGGAAACTACGGAGACCACGTACAGTAGAGGTGTTTAAATGGCGAGTGAAGCACATAAATTGTACAAACTACGACATAGAATTATCTAATTATTCTCACGTCGGGGAAATATTTGCGTCCGTCAATATTTGCGTTTATTTTGAAAAAAATGCATGAAATACTCAGATTTTTGCGTGACTGAGACCTCTGCACTCACCCCTCGTACTCAAATAGCGTAAAAATATGATATATCAAGGTTGTGGACTCTCTAGAGGTCACAACTTTCTTTTGATTTTGATGAAACTTGAAATGTAAGTTTATAACCCAAAGATCTCGGTTCCTTTTGATATTCGCACATATTGGACCGTAACTTCCTGAATTATGGCCCCTGATTGTACGAAAAATCACTTTTTGTTTAGCTTGTTCTCTATCCATCTCTTGCAAAATGTGGGCAGCCGCTGGTTATCCGATTTTGATGAGAGTTGAAATATATGTTTATAACCCAAAGAAATTTGTTTCTTTCGATATTCGCGCGTATCGGATCATAACTTCCTGAATTATGGCCCTTGAATATACAAAAAATCATGTTTATACGTCCACATTTCTTGTGAACACTCTACAGACTACATTTATCAACCAATTGTTTTAAAATTGATATATGTTGTTTGCATTAGTGAGATGAAGAAGCCTATTTAATTTCAATAACTTCTGTTAATTTCTTCTGGAGTTATGGCCCTTGTTTCACTTTGTTGCACCTTGTAAACGCTCTAATGACAAAAGTTATCAACCGATCTGTATGAAATTTATATGCATCATTTAAATTAGCAAAACAAAGAAGCCTATTGAATTTCAGCAATTTCTGTTAATTACATCTAGAGTTATGTCCCTTGTTTCACTTTGTTGAATCTTGTGAACGCTCTAAGTCTAATGACAACAGTTATCATCCGATCTGTATGAAATTTATATGTATCGTTTAAATTAGTAAAATGAACAAGCCTATTAAGTTAATTACAGCTAGAGTTATGGCCCTTATTTCACTTTGTTGAATCTTGTTAATGCTTGAACGACAAAAGTTATCATCCGATCTGTTTGAAATTGATATGCATCATTTAAATTAGTGCAACGAAGAAGCCTATTGAAATTCAGCAATTTCCGTTAATTACGCCCTTGTTTCACTTTGTTGTACCTTGTGAATGCTCTAATGACAAAAGTTATTATCCGATCTGTATGAAATTTATGTATTGTTTAAATTAGTTAATTACAGCTAGAGTTATTGCCCTTGTTTCACTTTGTTGAACCTTGTGAACGTTCGAGCGACAAAAGTTATCATCCGATCTGTATGAAAATTATAATATGTATGCATTATTTTAGTAAAACGAAAAAGCTTGTCAAATTTCAACAATTTCTGTAGATTACTTCCAGAGTTACGGCCCTTGTTTTGGTTTTTAGAACCTTGTGAACCCTCAAACGACGAAAATTATAATGTCATCTGTATGAAATTATCTATTAAATTCCCCTAATTACCTACAAAAGAATAAATATGCGACAACCCATGTCGGCCGCTCGGACGATTTAGCTGCTGTGGGCGTATATGTTTTGTTGCCTGGCAACCTATCTTTATTTTTGTCTTTGGAACTATTAAAATGGGGTTGTCTGTCTGTAAAGGGGGTAAATTAAAAATATAAGCCATCAAATACACAAGATGAAGTTTAACTTATAGTGGGGTAAATGAAGTTTCATTTTCAAGATGTTTTTCAAAATTTTAACACCGTCACACAGCCAAATTAAGGAGAAAATGGGCAAAGTTTGCACAGTGGGAATTTCGAGGCTAAATATTTTCAAAAGTACATCCTAGTAATACTAGCAACAGAAGTTCTCTTCTCAGATGTATGTCTCGATCAACCTGAAACGGAAGTTTATTATCAAATGTCAACAGAAGTTTCATGGAGTGCTAGACTCATGGCACACCTTAAAAGACAAAGCCTGTATGAATAAGTGTTCGAAGTTTTGACAGAATGTTGCATAGAACGACAATCAAGATTATCTGTTTTATTGTTAAACTCTTAAATTGCAGCAGTTTTGTAATCTACTTAAAATTGAAGCCATCTGATGACTTAATCAGGTTAATAAATGATTAAATAATACTCTATATAACAATTGAAGCCCCAAAGAGACCTGCGATAAGCAGATTTAGCTCTTACATAGTGCATCTTTAATTGAATGTTGTATACCGTAATTAGTTTCAGTGCATTGTTTTGTGGATTATTAGGCTTTCTGTAGCCTAGTTTAACCCTTTCAATGCTAGACGTAAATCCACTGCCTGTGCTAGACCCTTTTTTGAGGAAAAAAGGGGGGTTGGAACTGAATGCCAAACAGTACTTTTATGAAAAATCTTTTTGTCTGTTGAGATGGGCATGAGGTTGGGCTAAGAGGAAAAAATATAATTTTGGAAATTTGCATAATAATGTAGTCACGTGACGTCATGGCTGCCATTTTGGATTTATCATTTCTCACTAAAGCTAACACGAAAACGAATTTTTCTCCATGAAATACTTATGAGATATTGTTTTTTTCACTGGATTTTGATAAAGATATATAAAATGAACAAAAATATCAATAGCAGCCATGAGCAATGCCACCACGAACACGCGCATCATGTCTCCCGCTGCCATGACCACGTGCGGATTGCAATACCTTGTTTTTACTTTCACGTTCACTTTCATCCCCAAGTCCCATATCATTATCAATATAGTCAGTCAATAGATCTATCGTCTTCACATTGGGCTTGTTCATCAGGCACGGGAGACATAGCTAGCCATGGGCGGAATGTCGCGCAACAAATGACACACTTCATAATACCAATCACTGTCCTGACTACTATCATTATCAAGTAACTGGAAACGAATTATATGTATCACCCGCCTCGAAATAGTCCACGTGTTGGTCAGCAAGACGTCATTCAGACATCGTCGAGAGTGCATTGTCTACGTTGTCACTATGCACTCCGCCATTTTACGGTTTGCAGCTTTGAAACACGTGGAAATATGTTCTAGTGTATAGAAAATACAATAGATGGCACTTGCAGTTACGGTACTAATTTTAGCGAGGGCTTTACTGAGTACCGACATTTTATAATACCCGGTACTACCGGGTATACGCAATGAAAGGGTTAAGGGATACACCAAGTAATTTAATACCTTTGTTTATTGCAAACTTGATTAATATTGATACACCAATATTATGTTTATTGTAGCTTGGGTTAATGCATACCGGTACATCAAATGCTTTAATGTATAATTTTTATTGCAGCCTGGGTTAATGGATGCATCAAGTGCTTTAAGAGGTTTAAGAGAACAGACACCACAAAAACCAGGTGAGTTCTGATGATGGTTTTACTCTGGATTGTTCTGTACATTTTAAATGGAACTAACCAGAATTTGGTCAATAGATGTCGCAGAAGGAAATATAGTAATTATAAGCTCCCATTCCCTTCAATATAACCAGACTAAACAAAATTCTTGGTAATTAAATGGAACTAACCAGAATTTGGTCAATAGATGTCGCAGAAGGAAATATAGTAATTATAAGCTCCCATTCCCTTCAATATAACCAGACTAAACAAAATTCTTGGTAATTTGTTATGTAGAATGTGGTATTTTGAATAAACTAGTACTAGTGATTGCCACAAGTAATAATGACAAATAGCTAAACTTGCTGAATATTTTCCATATTTAATTCATGTACCGGTTTCAAGTTGTAAAAAAAAATAATCCTTAATAAATGACTTGGTTTATTCGGTGGATAAAGGTATAGTTCATCAGTTATTCGGATTTTTATACGCCTACAATTTCTTGTAAACACTCTGAACTGTTAGAAATTTATATACATTTAGTGAGGCGATGAAGCCTATTTAATTTCAACAATTTCTGTTAATTGTCTTTGTTTAACTTTGTTGAACCTTGTGAATGCTTCGAAGAAAGCAGGGGACTATTAAAATGTCTGGTCTGGTCTGGTCTGGTCTGGTCTGGTCTGGTCTTGTCTATTAAAAAGTGTCTGATCTTGTCTGACTGTCCACAATTTGTTTGTGGACACTACAGGTCACAATTTTTATTCGATTTTGACGGAACTTAAAATATATTTCTGTCTCCCAAAGATCTCTGTTCCTTTCGATATTGGCATATATCGGACCATAACTTCATGGATTGTGGCCCCTGATTGTACGTAAAAGCACGTTTTTAGCTTGTGGATGGTGTAATTGTAATATATTCAAACGTTTTTTTTAAATCGGATAATAATTGTGACCTCTAGAGGGTCCACAAGCTAAAAACGCAATTTTTCGTACAATCAAGGGCTATAATTGCGGAAGTTACGATCTGATGCTTGACTATCAAAGTAACCAAGATCTTTGGGTTATAAACATGTATTTCAAGTTTCATCAAAATCTTATCAAAACTGTGGCCTCTAGATTGAAAAGTTTCACTGTTAGTGTAAATATATGGTATATCAAGGTCGTGGACAATCTAGATGTCACAATTTTGATCAGTTTTTGATGAAACTTGAAATATATCTTTATACCCAAAGATCTTGGTTCCTGTCATTATTTGCACATATCGGATTGTAACTTCCTGAATTATGGCCCTTGATTGTACGAAAAATCGCGTTTTGTTTAGCTTGTTCTCTATCCATCGCTTGCAAAATGTGGACGTATCCTGTCTGGCAGCCGCTGTTGATAATTATTGCCAGAGTTTTGGCCCTTGATCACTTTGAAAAATCTTTTGGACGCTGTAGAGCATAGGTTCCCAACCTTTTTTGGGTGGCGACCCCATTCCAGACCCAGGACCAGATCGCGACCCCTAGAAGAACAAAGTCACATTTTACAATGATAGACCGATGAAACAAATCGTGGCCATGAGAGTAAATTGATTAGCAATGTGGCAAGAGCTGTATAGATCACATGTTCCCTAAGCAACGGCCGCAGTTTTACAACTTCTATCCGTTGCCAGAATTGTCTGAATTTCCCGAACTTTTAGGTACGTTATTTACCTTTACTGCAGACACGTGAACAATAACGTTGTCCAATCAGAGGTCGCGATACAAACAAATATCCAAATACAAACATTGCGATCTCCACCAAAAAATGAATAGATAAGTTGACAGCCGTTAAAAGGTTGTTTTTTTTTTCAGTTGAAAAACTCACGGAAAAGCAATCAAAACTGTTTTAGAGACTAGAGAAGTATTTATTTGCACGAAAATTGGCAGCGGCAAGTCTCTTTGTTTTGGAAATTTCCAGCAACCTTGAACTTTTTAACTCGATTATCACAGATAGATATTTCAGTTAGAAAGCGGGAGACTTGGTATTCGCGATGATATTTTCTATCGAATCTGATAGGTCTAGAGCTGGGTCCTAGACCAATCGAAATTATTGACGAAAAATGTAGAGTGTTACGTGAAGGCCTTGATAAGATGTACGGAGTTAAAGCGACATCAAGCCTTCTATTGATGATGTATAGAGATAGATTACATGAAAAGATAGAATTTTTTTTTTAAAGTTCTCAGACTAGTCCGCGACCCCACGAAAAGTGCTTGCGATCCAACTTGGGTCGTGACCCAGAGGTTGGGAAACGCCGCTCTAGAAGCTAAAGTTAATATACGAATGACTTTAAATTTATATGCAGTGTATTTGTTAGTATACCAAAATATATCTATTGTGTATGCACAATAAAATGGTAAAACAGCACATAAAGTTCAAATCACAGACATTTGGACTTGAAATTTAGTGATATAAAATTTTTTATTTTGTGATGTTACGTACGTAGGCCTAACAGCAACATTTTGGTCTTCTAGAGACAGGGGGGTTGGATGGCTAAATGGTTAGCGTGCGCACGATGTACCATAAAGTCTGTCATTGAGTCAACTGGCGTGGTTTTGATTCCCCGGTTGTACGTGACAAGGAGTAGGGTCGCCTGTCCAATTTAAGTTGTTACTCCTGTAAACCAATAGATAATTTGTAGATAATGAAAGTGGTAACAAATGTATCAATGGAACTGATATTGCTGGATTTATTGGCTAATTCTGCGTCCATTTTATAACACGTGCGCAATGCTCTTTTTGGTAATCGGTTTAAAATTAACGATTCCATTGGTACAAAAAATGACGTTAGTTCAAGGGTAACATAGCACCGGTAAAACACGTCATCCCTGCATCAAAGTTTTAGTTACTTCTAGAGTTATCATCCTTGTTTCACTTTGTTGAACCTTGTGCTTTTTGAACAACTAAAGTTACTGTTCGATCTGTATTGAATTTATATACATTATTTGAATTAGTAAAATTAAGAAGCATTGAATTTCAGCAAGTTTTGTTATTAACTACTCTTTTCCTTGTTTCGCTTCAAATGTGAATGCTCTATCGACAAAAGTTATCATTCGATTGTATTAAATTTATGTGCATTATTTTAAAAGTTATAAAAATGAAGAGAATTTTTGAATTTCATAAAGTTCCATTAATAACTTTTAAAGTTATGGCCCTTGTTCCACTTTGTTGAACTTTGTGAACGCTCTAAGTTTAACAAGAAAAGTTATTGTCCGAACTGTATCAAATTGATATCTGCACCACTATTTGTAATTCTATCTGTACTGACTGATAAATTTACTGTCAGCATCTGACATGTTGGTTGGTTTGTTATGTACAGTAGGGGGGTTGGATGGCTGAATGGTTAGCATGTACGTGCTGTATCATAAAGTCTGCCATTAGTCAACTGGCGTGGTTTCAAATCCCCGGTAACTTGACAAGGAGTAGGGTCGCCTGTCCAACCTTGTGGGTTTTCTCTGGGACATTTCTCAGTGGACATCTAAAACCCCATATCTATCTCTCTCTCTCTCTCCTTTGTTATGTACAATAAGTTCATGACAGTTGCCATCATAACACTGCAGCTGACTGGTGTGTGAATTACTATAGAGGACTTGTACTTTAGTTTGAGTATGATTGAATTAATTTCAAAATGAAATCATAAAGTATAAAATGTTAAGAATTGGTGCTGATTGAACATTCTGTGATTTTTTTTTTTTAAAAGATAAAGATTAATGGTCGTTATTTTATATTTTTCAGCGTATCATATTATAGCTTTACAATCACCCTCCAAGATGTCTCCCTATAAAGATCAACCTCAGTTACTACCTAAAACTATACAACCACAACAGGTAGATTACATCTTTATACCAAATGTTTTGAGATTTTAAAGCTTATAGCCAAAGGGTGACTTTCACTATTGATCATTATAGTCTCTTTTCAACTTTTTATATATCTTCAATTTCATGTTGTCGCCCCGTCACATTTGTTTACGGACACACTACAGATCATGTCTTTGTACTATTTTGACGAAACTTCAATTATATGTGTTTATCTCCCAAAGATCTTGAGCGGTTCCTTTCCATATTAATGGCAATGCTAAGCTTGCAATGATACAGAAAAAAAATATCGCGATATTGGTAAAATAAATTATCGCGATATGGATTATCGCCTGGAGTATATTATCGCGATAATTAGAATTATTGTGTTTCAAAAATTCAATGTCATGACAATTACTGAAATAAAATTTTGGAGGTGTATAAATGTATCTAGTGTATCCCTTTGGTATTTAGCAATGTATGTGAGATAAACTGATGAAGTGAGCTGTATATACATGTATATATGCTGGGGTAAGATTATTCCTGTAGGTATCGTCACCTCACATATTCTGTTCTAATCAGCTGGAATACCCGGAATTCCGAATAAATATTCATTAACTCAACATCTGATTAACAGACTTGTCGGATGTTCTTTTCATACGCCCACAATTTGTTTGTGGACACTCTACAGATCACAATTTTCATCCGCTTTTGACGAAACTTAAAATATAGGTCTATCTCCTAAAGATCTTGGTTCCTTCCAATATTGGCATGTATCGGACCATAACTTCATGGATTGTGGCACCTGATTGTACAAAAAATGACGTTTTTAGCTTGTGAACACACTAGAGGTCATAATTTTGATCCGATTTTGATAGCACTTGAAATGCATGTTTATAACCCAAAGATCTTGGTTCTTTTCAATATTCGTGCATATATCAGATCGTAACTTCCTGAATTATGCCCCCTGATTGTACGAAAAATCGTGTTTTTAGCTTGTGGTCCCTCTAGGGGTCACAATTATTATCTGATTTTAAAAAAACTTTTGAATATATTATCGTTACACAGTAATGTTGGTTGAGTTATAATTTCGCGACAATTGGGCCAAAACTGCCGGAGAAAATGTCTGCCCCTTGTACGCATATAGTGTAAACATCTGGTATATCAATGTTGTAGACCCTCTACAGGTCACAATTTTGATCAATTTTGATGAAACTTGAAATACATGTTTATAATGCAAAGATCTTGGTTCCTGTCGATATTTGCGCATATCGGATCGTAATTTCCTGAATTATGGCCCTTGATTGTACAAAAAAATCACGTTTTGAGCTTGTGGTTCCTTTATAGAGGTTATAAGTTTTATCCGATTTAAAAAAAAAAGTGTGAATATATCACTGTTACACACTAAGATCTTGGTTCCTTTTGATAATTGTGCATATCCGAACGTAACTTCCTAGATTATGGCACCTGATTGTTCGAAAAATCATCTTTTTAGCTTGCAGATTATCTAGAGGTCACAATTTTTTTTCCAATTTTAAATTTGTCACCATTCCACATAAAGGTTGAATTCGAATTTCGGGAAAATTGAAATGAAACTGCCCAACAAAATGGCCGCTCTTTGTACACAAATTGTGTAAAAGTATTTAACACAAAGGTTGTGGACCCTCTAGAGGTCACAATTTTTATCCGATTTTAATGAAACTTAAAACATATCTCAGTCCCTTTTGACCATAACTTTCTGGATTATGGCCACTGATTGTACAAAAAATCGTTTTTGTTTTTAATTTGTTTGTCTATCTCTAGCAAAATGTGGGCATATACTGCCTGGCAGCCGCTGGTTATCCAATAAAAAAAAAACGTTTGAATATATCACCGTTACACCCTAATGGTTGAGTTTGAATTTCGTGAAAATCGGACCAAAATGCCGGACAAAATGGCCACCCCTCGTACAGTCTATATTTGGTATTTCAAGATTGTGGACACTCTAGAGGCTGAAACTTGAAATACATGTTTATAATCCATTTGAAGATCTTGGTTCCTTTCGATATTCGCGCATATCAGATTGTAACTTCCTGAATTATGACCCTTGATTGTACACAATTTGTATTCAATTATAAAAAAAACTTTAGATATATCACCGTTACACATCAATTAAGGTTGAATTCGAATTTCGTTAAAATCTGACCCAAACTGCCGGAAAAAATGGCCGTTCCTTGTACGCAAATAAAAGTATGTAATGGTAATACCAAGTTTGTTTACACTCTAAAAAGTCACAATTTTTATCCGATTTTGATGAAACTTGAAATGTAAGATTATAATCCAAAGATTTCGGTTCCTTTTGATATTTACGCATATCGGAACATAACTTCCTGGATTATGGCCCCTGATTGTACGAAAAATCACTTTTTTGACCCCCACCTTTCGAAGAAAGCAGGGGACTATTAAAATGGGTTCGTCTGCCTGTCCGTCCGTCCGTCTGTCTGTCCGTCACATTTTTTGGGACACAATAACTCTCTTTCTAATTGAGCTAGAATGTTCAAACTTGGTGTATGTGTTTATTAGGTCAGTGCCTTGATGGAGTTCGAAGATTGACCATTTTCTGCTTAGAGTAAGCAGAAAACAAGCAATTTGATTGGTTGATGCTTTGGGACACGATAACTTGAGTTCTAATTAAGTAAGAGTGATGAAACTTGGTGCATAGTTTAGTGCTGGCACGATATATCGTTGAATCGATGTATCGCGATTCACCGTCTCACGATACCTGTATTGAATCGCAGGATGCCGAATCGATTTTTCATGATTCTTTTTTGCGTTTTCTCAAATATATTGTGAACTTTAAAACTTTAAATTATACCCTAAACTTTATTTGAAACAATAACACTTCGCAAACGATGTCCAGTAGTCTTGACGTGTGTGTTACTATAAATAGCGCACAACCGTAATTACCGTTAGTTTCGTAGGTTTAGATTAACAACATTTTAACGCCTTTTCGTTTTGTTTCCGAATTTTAAAGTTTGTTATAAAGCTTAGTTAATAAAACATACATATTTAAATACATAAAACAACATTTTACCCTAGAATTTTATAGATTTAGAACGTAAATATAATAGATAGTAGCTCTTGTAAAAATCAAAATGCCGGAAAACACACTCGCAATAACAAATCCTCCAGTGACTGAAATATAAATCTAAAGTTTGGGACACAACGAAAGTTGTTTGTAGAATATGCAAAGCTATTCTAAAATATTGTGGTAATACAACCAATCTCAGCACTCACTTGACAAGACACCATAGTGGCGACTGTCTAAGTTCGTCTGCTAAGATTAAGAAGACGGCCAGTTAAACCTGTGGAAGTTCAAGCTTCATTAAAGACACAATCACATATTTAATTTGTTGTTTTATTGATAAATCTATGACCTAGTTACGAATCGCGATACGTATCGTATCGTGGCACATGAATCGCAATACGTATTGTATCGTGATTGCAGTCACAATACCCAGCACTAGTATAGTTACATTACATAAATACATCAGAGATAAGCAATCTGATTGATTGATGCTTTGGGGCACGATAACTTTGGTTTTAATTAAGTGAGAGTGATTAAACTCTGAGTATAGATTCATTATATCATTACCTTGACTAAGTTTGTAGATGAGAATTTTCTGCTTAGGCTAAGGATCGATAAGCAACTTGATTGGTCAAGACTTTTGAACATAACAACATTGAAATGTAGTCGTATATTTTTGTCGCCCCCGTCCGTCCGGCGGTCCGGCGTCCACAATTGCTTGTGGACGCTCTAGAGGCTAAAGTTAGTATCTGATTGACTTTAAATTTATACACAGTGTTTAAGGTCTTGAGACGAAGAAGCTCTAAAGGCCAAAGTTAATATCCGATTGACTTTAAATTTATACACAGTGTTTAAGGTCATGAGACGAAGAAGCCTATTGATTTTCAGCGATTTCCGATAATTACTGCCAGAGTTATGGCCCTTGATCACTTCAAAAAATCTTGTGGACGCTCTAAAGGCCAAAGTTAGTATCTGATTGACTTTAAATTTATACACAATGTTTAAGGTCATGAGACGAAGAAACCTATTGATTTTCAGCGATTTCCGATAATTACTGCCAGAGTTATGGCCCTTGATCACTTCAAAAAATCTTGTGGATGCTCTAAAGGCCAAAATTAATATCTGATTGACTTTAAATTTATACACAATGTTAAAGGTCACGAGACGAAGAAACCTATTGATTTTCAGCGATTTCAGATAATTACTGCCAGAGTTATGGCCCTTGATCACATTGAAAAATCTTGTGGACGCTCTAGAGGCCAAAGTTAATATCCAATTGACCTTAAATTTATACAGTGTTTGAGGTCATGAGACGAAGAAGCCTATTGATTTTCAGCGATTTCCGATAATTACTGCCAGAGTTATGGCCCTTGATCACTTCAAAAAATCTTGTGGATGCTCTAAAGGCCAAAATTAATATCCGATTGACTTTAAATTTATACACAATGTTTAAGGTCATGAGACGAAGAAACCTATTGATTTTCAGCGATTTCCGATAATTACTGCCAGAGTTATGGCCCTTGATCACTTCAAAAAATCTTGTGGATGCTCTAAAGGCCAAAATTAATATCTGATTGACTTTAAATTTATACACAATGTTAAAGGTCACGAGACGAAGAAACCTATTGATTTTCAGCGATTTCCGATAATTACTGCCAGAGTTATGGCCCTTGATCACATTGAAAAATCTTGTGGACGCTCTAGAGGCCAAAGTTAATATCCAATTGACCTTAAATTTATACAGTGTTTGAGGTCATGAGACGAGGGAGCCTATTGATTTTCAACGATTTCCGATAATTACTGCCAGAGTTATGGCCCTTGATCACTTAAAAAAATCTTGTGGACGCTCTAAAGGCCAAAGTTAATATCCGATTGACTTCAAATTAATACACAATGTTTAAGGTCATGAGACGAAGAAACCTATTGATTTTCAGTTATTTCCGATAATTACTGCCAGAGTTATGGC